CAATTCACTTTTATGATAGTACTCTTCATTTGGAATAAGAAATAATTTTCCGTACGAGTTCGTGGAAGATGAAATGTAGTACATTGATACTATCAGGTCAATTATGATAAGTTTACCTGTTGGTCTATCGCTGTCGTTTTCTTTTCAATGAGTTCCTGTAGGGGTAGATTAGGTACGATTTCCACACGTTCCATCCTGATGGCGTTATTGAATTGAATAGACGAGCTACACGTGTCAAAGTCTACGAAAGATGGATGGATAGTGTGTTAGCTGATGAGAAATATTCACGACCTTCATGGCTGTATGCTATTCACGACTATTCTTCTCCTTCAATTCATTAAGATCAAGGTTACAATCTTTAGTAGAATTATGATTAAGTCAGCGTAGGATTACTATACAAGTCATGCCTACAATGTTGAAGTTAATGTTGAGACTGGACGATGTTTGAAAGTGAATCCGTCACCCACTAAGGCCACTTGCAAAGAGTGGAAAATGGACGATAATATTGTTGAATTGTTTGCAACGATCTATCCGTAGAGGAAAATGTCTAATATAATACACCAATGACTCGTTACTGCCGTTAATTGCAATTCTTGTTTTTGATGATGACCTGGAAATCGATCAATCTCGGCTACTATTGGAATTTTTGCTGTACTGTTCAAGCGTCGCCTCTACAGACTTTGAAGTGAACCACCAACAGAATAAATGATTCTACTTCAATTAGAGAATGATGATGACTAGCTTGCTACTATACCATGCACAAGCTCGATCACGATCTTGATGGTGTGTTGTGGCCAATATTGCTAAGCGTTTTTAGATGGTTCCAATGAGCTCAACGCCAAGGTAAACTGCCGGTAGTTGATGTTGATGTTAACAGCTGCCCAAGTTGACTGTTTATATAGCCTGCCAGCGCCAACGACTACAGTGCCAACTTTTCCCACACCAACAATGAAATTCAGAACTAATGTACTGTACACTGTAGCCCCATTTGGCTTGGACGCTACTCAGCGCCTGTCGATCGAATAAAAAAGACTGACACAAATTGCAGCTTCTTCTCCCCTAGTGATGCAATACACAGTGCAAAGTACTGTAGTGATGCAATAGTGGAACAGTAATCTCAACGCCCTCAGGTGGGCATGATGACGCAATCATCATCATCCAGCGATTCAAGATGTCCACTACTTATATCATAATTAGTGGATTGATTCATTCATACTGCAGTCTATTTGTACAATCAACGGCTTCGATGATCATCTATCACAGTAGTATGTAAGAAGAAGAAAAGAGTTTGAGTAGAAGAGAAATTATATCCTAATTAGTGGGTTGATTCATTCATACTGCAGTCTATTTGTACAATCAACGGCTTCGATGATCATCTATCCCAGTAGTATGTAAGAAGAAGAAAAGAGTTTGGGTAGAAGAGAAATTATATCCTAATTAGTGGGTTGATTCATTCATACTGCAGTCTATTTGTATAATCAATGGCTTCGATGATCATCTATCCCAGTAGTATGTAAGAAGAAGAAAAGAGTTTGAGTAGAAGAGAAATTATATCCTAATTAGTGGGCTGATTCATTCATACTGCAGTCTATAGGATTCATTCATACTGTAGTCTATGTGCACAATCAACGGCTTCGATGATCATCTATCCCAGTAGTATGTAAGAAGAAGAAAAGAGTTTGGGTAGAAGAGAAATTATATCCTAATTAGTGGGTTGATTCATTCATACTGCAGTCTATAGGATTCATTCATACTGCAGTCTATTTGTATAATCAATGGCTTCGATGATCATCTATCCCAGTAGTATGTAAGAAGAAGAAAAGAGTTTGAGTAGAAGAGAAATTATATCCTAATTAGTGGGCTGATTCATTCATACTGCAGTCTATAGGATTCATTCATACTGTAGTCTATGTGCACAATCAACGGCTTCGATGATCATCTATCCCAGTAGTATGTAAGAAGAAGAAAAGAGTTTGGGTAGAAGAGAAATTATATCCTAATTAGTGGATTGATTCATTCATACTGCAATCTATAGGATTCATTCATACTGTAGTCTATGTGTACAATCAACGGCTTCGATGATCATCTATCCCAGTCAGTATGCAACAAGAAGAAAAGAGTTTGGGTAGAAGAGAAATTATATCATAATTAGTAGATTCATTCATTCATACTGCAGTCTATGTGTGCAATCTATGGCTTCGATGATCATCTATCCTAGCAGTATGTAAAAAGAAGAAAAGAGTTTGGGTAGATGTGAAATTATATCATGATTGGTGGATTGATTCATTCACACTGCAGTCTATGTGTACAATCTATGGCTTCGATGATCATCTATCCCAGTCAGTATGCAACAAGTAGAAAAGAGTTTGGAGAGAAATGTATCTCAGAACATACATGTACTGTAAGATTCATACTGAAATCCATGCTTACAATCTATGACTTCGATGATCATCTATCACAGTGAGAAGAAGAAAAGAATTTGGGTAGAAGAGAAATGTATCTGAGAACATATGTGTACTGTAAGATTCATACTGAAGTCTACGCGTACAATCAATGGCTTCGATGACCATCTATCACTGTTAGTAAATAAGAAGAAGAAAAGAATTTGGGTAGAAGAGAAATGTATCAGAGAACATACATGTACAGTACTGTAAAATTCACACTGTAGTCTGTGCGTACAAAGAATGGCTTCGATGGCCATCTATCACAGTGAGTAAATAAGAAGAGGAAAAGAGTTTGGGTAGAAGAGAAATGTATCTAACAACGTACTATAAGATTCATACTGCTGTCTATGCGTGCAATCAATAGCTTCGATGATCATCTATCACAGTCAGTAATCACAAAGATGATCTACAAAATACAATTAACAATCAATCCATATTGTATTGCTGCTTTATCCAATTTCGGACAGTAGTCATTCCAGGAATATCATTATAAAAAATGTGAGATACTATAAATATTCCATATTTATTGGTGTGTTATCTGGGCTTATATCATTGACAGTATTATCAACAGCGATGAGTAAAAAATAGTGTAGTTACTGAATCTATTGCTAATTAACTAAAAAGGGACGCAAACTCAGCCATAAAGGCAAAATAAGAGTATTAACTAAAGCAATTCGTTATCTTATAATTTAATTAGTGGTCAAGTTAAAAGGTAGATTAACCTTTCCTTGAATTTCGTTCCTAGAAATGAAATTTTAAACCTTATTAATTCAAGGTGTTTATTAATGCAGGTGTTTGTCATTGGAGAGATGAGTAGTAGTAGCATCATGCTAATGGACCTTACCATAAATGCTCTTGAATGTAATAGTAACATTTTGGCTTCTTGAATGAATTAAATTTGGATGCCAGGCTTAATGAATAAGCTCCAGTTTCTGTAAATCCAATAAGGTCAAGTACATATAGGCATAATATGAGAGAATAATGGCAATTAGTCACTAATAATCACCAAAACCTTTGTAGGACATGACATAAAAGCATTCTTGATAAACCTTCAGTACGGGTATAGATTGTAGATATTGTTTGATAGTACAGGACTTTTAACAGTTATTTACCTTCGAAGTATACCCAGTCACCAGCGTTAAGCTGAATTTATAATTTCAAATGGCGATAGATAACGAATATATAGGTATTAGAAGATATCGTTTACGACGCGTTAGTCACAATCTGTTCCTTTTGAAGCTAGGTCATAAGTATAATTTTATTGTATATACGAGTCTGTTATGCTACTAAAAACTTCAGTACCTTTGGTAGTAAACATTCTTTCATTAAACAATCTAAGGAATCACATGTCTGACCAAATAAAACCGCAGTTTCTTCGCCATGAGTATTACTTTTGACCGGTTTTAAAGTAATTAGGGCATGATCAATTGGGAGAATATTAAGGCACCCATAAACGCTATCGTTAACGTAGTATAACACTTTCTAAAAGTAGTTATTTAAAAAAAAGTGTTAAATAGAACCATCGATTTTAATAAATTGCGCTATAAGTTTTTGAATCAATCACTTGTAGTTAAGAGAGTTTGAGCAAATATAAATCGTTACGATAGAAATATTACCTCAAAATCGTTTGTATTCTTATAAAGATGTGCATTTTCTGTTTTAAGAAGAGTTTTAAATATACATTACTGGAAGGATAGCTTAAGAATGTAATCATACAACAATTAACACAATACCGACGGCTGGTCTAACGTAGCAATATATTATCTTTACCATGCTCAAAATCAAACAGATCGCCATTTCCTTTTCGAACAACTCTTCTGCCAATTACGTTAAGAACTAAAGTGCATGCTCTCGTTGCAAAATAGCGGCCTAAAGAATATTTAAAACGAAAACGTAAGCTGTAGTTGGCTAAAGTTCACTTGTAAGAAGCAACAAAGCGTTACACCCTTGCAAGGAATATACTGTACAGTACATAAGTGAAAACAGCTGAATCAATAAACAAACTACCAAACCTCTTGTTGGCATCCTCGTTTTACTAAGACCATCTAAGTACACTATGAGTATATTGTAGTTACGGTATACGTAATACCGTAGTATACTGTAGCTGTAATGTGCTATTAAATTATAAGAGATTACAGTGACAGCATCTAATGAACACGATTACGACAATAAATTACAATTCATGAATAACGTTACAACCTAAACATTGTAATCATAAATTTAGTTCGCTTATTTAATATCAAGATTATTTAAATATCATAGCACTATTTTAATTGCTTAATGTGATAACTATATCGCAATATAGAATTTTAACGCGTACTGAGAATATACTAATCAAGCTATATCATAGCCGTAAATTTTATCTTTTATCACTTAATTGTTCTGTAGAAATGTTGAATAATAAGCAACCAAAGTTACCGTACGTACTCAAATGCATTACACAATGGATCAAAAATTAGCGCATTATATAGAATTAAGGAACTATGTGCTATATTATAAACTAATAACCTGGTTCAGCAATAATTCTAACACCCAACTCCGGAGGGAAATATTTCTGTAATGCTTTACTAATAACTGCAGCTGCCTAAAATTTGGAAACGCATATTTGTAATTTAGAATTTCTCACATTGTAAAGTCAAATAAAAAATCTGTTAATCGATGCTATATTAAATTTTATATACTTAACCTTCGCAAAGGTCGTTTCTAGGGCTGAAAAAGCTGTAAAACCTCCGCCAATATCAAGTAAATTAAAATGGTAGCCAAATTTCTCCTGAAAATGGATTACATAAAAAAGGCAATAGGAAGCTATTAATATTGTAGCATTAAAGTTACCTCATCTAAGAGATACTACTTAACTAACAGCTAATTTAAATATTTGCTTAGACGTTATTATTCCTTTTTCATAGGCAATCGGAGTAAGGCAATCGCTTCCCACGTGAAAACTACATTAAATAAAGTCTGGATTTAATATTTCCCTTATCATAATAAAATAATTTATCTTTAACAGGAATATTTTCCCGCTACACTTACCTTACACCCACAACATTCAATTTTAAAGATTGAGCTACTTCAAGTAAATGGGCTACATCGGCTTTAGCTGCTCCAAATTTTATACCAAGCTAATTACGTGTAGTGAATGTACAGGTTCTTACAAATTTTATTTAGTGCTTTCGTTCCCTACTTTTATCTATTAGTACAACAAAATAGAAAAGTTTTCATTTTGTAATTAAAGTGGGTTGAGTACCTGAAACCTGCTTTCGCATACTTCCATATCTGGGCATATCCTTATGGCCAGTCTAGAGTAAATTCATTTGATAATAACTTTACAGTTATTTGCTAAACTAAATATTGCTATCAAGTTAAGGACTATAAATTAATTGCTTTTATCGCTATAGTAGAGAATTAACAAACAAATCCAACCATTTTCATGAATGGCGCGTAATCATCTTAACCAATTTCCTTACTTTGCGTTTGGATGATATTTTTTGATTTTATATAGTTCATCTTCATTGTCAAACACCGTAAGATTGACATTTTTCTCCTTTGCAAACCTGATAATCGATAAAATAAGCACATACCCAATGATCTACTACCGCATGATGATTATCTAGCGTAATATATTTTGCATGATTGCAAGAATGTCAGATAACCACAATATACATCCAACAGAAATTTAGCTCGAGCTTACACTCAGTTACCTAAGATGAGATATTGCTTTAATAGTGTTTGCGTATATAATTCTATCTGGATTAACACCTGCATTGAGTATCGATTGTATTTCACCCTACAAGTATTATGAAGAATAAAAAATATGTCCATGTAAAGAACTATAAATTTATATTAGGCAAAAAAATATAATCCATCCTAATCTATAACAAATGGACGTTTATTACAAATTTCAAGAATGCATATACATTACACTACCGAAATTAGATTAAGTACGTAGTATCATAAACTTTTTAGTTATCATGTATATTATCGATCGATATTTTAACTGAAAATTATAATTTTATTAATTTCCCTAAGTTTGATAAACTATCTATTAAGAATTAATCATTACATTGCTTGTATACCTACCAAGCTTGCACAGTCGAAGCTAACTCCTAAGTTTATTAAAGTGCGTAACAGGACGGGATCATTATTGCATTTCATAGCTTGAAGGTAATTGTATTTCGATAGCACAGATAATAGTAAGTGCATTAGTGGTGATCAGTTTGAGTTTCGCTCTGCTTATAATTATACTACAAATCAGGAAGTACAAAAGCTGCCGCAATACACTTAAGTTATAGTGAATTATAGATAACACACGTATGACCATTTCATTTACGATATAAATTGCACTTACCATAGAAAATCTCAACATTACGGAGTCGCATTTTCCACTGATGTATTATAACCATTGATCAGGAAGATAATAAATACAGCATTATCAAAGAGGGAAAATCATTATTTTAGCTTTACTTTCGCTGATTTCTTCAGTCCTGGTATATTAATATTCCATTGCATTCTACATTAAATATTTACTATTTATCTAATATCTATTATGTAAGCCTAATTATGACTGGATGAATATTGGCCAAAGATTATTACCTCCTGATATCGTTCGATAATATCGCCAACGTTAATTAGCATGAATGGATCATCCCTAAACTAATACAATAATTACGCAAACATAAAGTTTTACAGCTTCATTCGCAAGTCTAATACACAAGTTAATTACATATATCAGGGCCAATTATCGCAATATTTTCTTTATTCTAAGCTCACAATTGAAATATATAATATAAGACGCTGACTTAAAAAGCGAGATGAGTCCTTAGTTACTGCAAACAGTGGAAAACTTTTGTGAAATCTTTTTAATTAAGAGTTCTTGTCAATTGATAACATTGATTATCGATGTGAGTAAGTAGGACAGCTTAAATTGTTGGTGAAGTGCCGATGACCTGAGTCGATCAAGCTACTATTACGACGCGAGCTTCGCAATTTGTCTATATGAATCAGATTATTGGTGTAAATTATCAATAAATTAATAGCTACTTGAACCGATTAAGCTGCAATATCGTAAAACCAGTTAGGAAAGCTAAGCATGATTTGTCGATGTGGCCTTAGATAGCTATAGTATTATCAATAAATGAAATGTTAATGACCTAAGCTAATCAGCTTACGGCATTCATGAGAAACTACACGATTTGTGCTTGTGAATCGGATTCCAGACATAAATTGTCAATAAAATATTAACCACCTGATCGATTAAAGTAAAGCATTGCTAAGCTAGTTGGATATACTGCATGGGTGTTACTTATACACGATTTATTGATGTGACTAGTATAAACAGTCAATGAAGTGCCAATAAGCTATGTAAATCAGGCTATCGTAATGATAAAAGCTGATCTAATTATGATGCAGTATTGTTAAACTAGTAAGGATAGATATGCATGATTTATTGATATGTAGCTTTTAGGTAGCATTTTCCAGTATAATATAACTACGTATTTTATCTATGAGAGTAGAATTGGTCACATGAGTAGTTACTAAAATATGAGCCACCTGATTTAGTTATGCTACAGTATTGCTAAACTAGTTCTGATCGGTAGGTATGATTTGGTGATAGGCAGTTGTTAGGTAGCAAGTTCACATGTAATATAACTAAATTTTTTATCTATGAGAGTGGAATTATTCGCATGAGTTGTTATTGAAATATGAAGCACCTAATCTAATTGTGCTGCAGTATTCTTAAACTAGTTAGGATAGCTATGCTTAACTTGTCGATTTGAGTGGGATTACTCACATGATTTCTCAATGAAATATCAATGATCTGAGCTATTGAAGCTACATTAACCAAGTAAATGGGATTACTTGTCCATATTTTCAATGGAAAATATTGATGTCTCGAGCTAATTCAGCCGCAGTTATGTTACAAAGTGGCATAATACGTGAATAAGCATAGTGAGTTGTTTACCAGGTAAGTCATCAATACAAGTGTTTGATGGTTGATGCACTACAGGATTTCATGCTTGCAGATATAGTAAGCACTTAGGCTTGGGTAAAAATGGTATAACGACCACAATAAATTCTTATCTTATTCTAAACAAGAACATATACAGGCAATTGATCTGGCTATCTGATTCTTGGAAGGATAAATTGTTCGTATGGAATTACATTTCAAGTACGCTTGATCTATAAAGTTGTCACCGTTTTCCATTTATCATAGTATTCAAAAACAAAGTTGATTTAGTGCAGTCAAGCTACCAAGTCTAGCATAATGAACTACCGCTATCCTATACAGTTACTTGGTACTGTTTTCAGTGAGTAAATCTTAAATTAAGACTCAGTCTACTCTGAAAACTCTGTTGATGCCCATTATGAAATCTTGATAAAGAAGTACTTGGACTACCAGTAGTCCTTGAGAAATATAACACAATAGTGTTCACTCAGCTACGATCATTTTACCTCTTCATCCATCGCTTTGGTTTTCCTAATAACTATTTCATGCACCGTTAAATCAGGTAAAATTTCGACTGTTTCCATCTTGTATAAAATTTCTAACAAAATATCCTGAAATGCAAGTCTTGGCGATTGATGGAGTAATGTCTGCGAGTGTGTTATCGATTCGACAGGAAAGAAGCCGTCTACCAGTTGCAATCTTATCGTTACCTACATACAAACATGATGCAGATGTTGTCATTGATATCATTCCATGATTGCAAATGTGCATAAAACATACAGAAGGGTCGTTAATTTTGCTTAGACTTTTCTACTCTGGATCAAGATGGAGGAGCAACCGATTTTGATTTCCTGTTTCTGTGTTGGCATTTGACCAGAGATTCTTCCAGCAGAGGTCAGTCCATCGACGTAACCATGGTAAGCAAACTACTGTAGTGTACTATACAGTGTACAGTATGAACGCGATTGTACTGTACACTGTACAGGGCGGGACTGTAGTAGTCGATGCTATCGCGGTTGCGCACTCAGTACGACTCTCAGGCCTTATTGCGCATGTCTTTCAGCACAATACTCAGTTAGGCTCGCGTTTACTCGCTTCCTTGTTAATAACTTGATTAATTGGTCGATCGAAAAGGTTTGATGAAGATGGATGATCACGTAGTATCGACATTTCCGTCGCCTCCTAGCGAATATTATAGTTGTTATACAGAGGAGAATGTTCGGGATGGCTTAACACCAAAGCCACCGCCAATTATCGAAGGCAGTTATGAAATTTATGGCATGAAATTCGATGTAGGTGGTGAAAAAGAAGAGTGTACAGTAGTTTAGAATATATTCAATCTAGTGCATTTGCATCGTTGGACAACGCGTAGAAAACATACTGTACTCTCTCCTCGATATATCGATGGATGTAGAAAGAGTGTTATAAGAATAAATGATCCGTGATTAACTTGATCTAGTTACATGTCGGACTAGAAATGCGTTGTGTAAATTCCTGATTGAACTACTCTTACTCATAATTAATTATCGCTAAGGAAGTACAATTACGCTTTATCTTTCATTTTTTCATTTTCAGACTCGTGATCCAACAATTCGATCGCTAGAAAGTCAAAAGATTCAGCAAGTATTCCGAAAAGAAAGTAGTGTAGGTAAGTCTTAACGCTATCCTTAGAATATGTGTAGATAACTATCATAAATATACCGCTACTAAATGTGATCAACATCAGCCAATTACACTTTTATTCTTCGATATGAACACTCATTGCCGACAGTCTTTTTGTTCATCCCCTTTTGTAGTAGATTAGTAACAAGTACGATCTGTAGTAATCTATAGTAATAGAAGCGCACTGCATGATTCTACAGGGACAAGAGTCTAAAAGCGAAATGGACTCGTAAACCATTGAATCATAATGCAACAGTCGTTACTACCAACAAGAATTTTAAGAATTGATGCATAATCATACTTGTAAGCTATTCTTAAAAGCATTATTCACGCAGACTGCTCACACATTGATTGATATGCAATCGCCTCAGCTAGGAAGTAGAATTATGATTAGCTGTAAAGCTCCTACTGTATTTACAGTTAGCAAATTGACCAAAGATGATCGGATTCAATCAACTTTGTAACGATTGTGTATTCAAAATTTCCAGATCGATTAGCAGAAATGAGAAAGATCAATTTCTCCATTTTGGTCAATTTTATCGAGTTACTAGATCTAATAACCAAATCTCCATTTTCACCCAAGGTCAGTTTTTGATGATATGATAAGCCTTAATGTAGTAATTATGACATGTTTCGTATTTGAATTATGTGAGTTAATGCTATTTACTGAAGGAAATGACTCATATTGTGTTATACTAATATCAACTGAAATTGAGATTAGCAATGTCACGACAACCTGTCTTAGCCTTCAGCGTAACTTCTAGACAATTTTAACTGTGCCAGAAAGCAATCCACGAATATCGATTGTTTATAATTTGCCATACAATATAATATTTACTAGTGTTATCATTTATGCAAGGCAGCGTTTTCCAATTGATAGTAATATATGCATGTCAATCGTTACCAAACATTGTCTTAAGCAAATTCTGTATTGATGTAAGTAAACTAAATCGATGCTCTAATTTAACAAATACACTTGTTAACAGAGGCATGAAAAACTGAGCCATCTTGGCACTCTTTTCATCAATATTCATCATTTAATTAACGAATACAGGCCGCATCAGGTAGCTGTTTATATTACACACAATTACTATCAAAATTGTGATAGCATTAAATAAATAGGTTAATAATACAGATCAACCATTATTCATATGCTCTATGATGGCCTTATTTTTTTCCTTTTATTCATAACAACTTCAATCAGGCAAGAGAGACACTCAAGGCTATTCTTGAATTACAGAAAAGACAAAAATTAGAAGCTGTAGAAAAAATTAATAAGTACGTATGCAAAATAACCTCAAAGCTATTGATTTATCTAAAAAAAAATTAAGGTTATTTCAGTCAATGTAAATGTTTGTGACTCCTCCTTCGATGTGGTTTCTACTTAGATGCATCGATGAAGTTGAAAATATTATTAACACGTGCGGGAATTTATTGGAGCCCGTATGTAAAGAAGAAAAAATTGAGTCAAGCGATAAAAATGACATTACGAATACAGAGGAAAGTGAAACGATGAAAATTGTCAACAATAATGACAATATTCAGCTTTGTTCGCCTGTCAATCGGTGGCTGTGTAAAATAACGGATGAAATGGAATAACATTTTCCATACTATGAAGATATCTGAAGCAGGGATATTGTCCTTCTTTGGATTATTGAACAGCTTAATTGGTTGTATATCATAGCAAGTTAGCTGTATTTCTCTCGATTACTAAATTTAAAAAGATATCTCGAAGTCGGATATGTTGACCATTGTACTGTATACTTGTACGATATATTATTTAATTTCGCTTTACTGTAATGATTACAGTCAATATCTATTACGGCTAATGTACTACTGTTTTCTTATAAATAATTTCGTTCGCCGTTTACACTAATGCTTAGGCAAAGTACATTTGCCACTCTTTGTAAAGGTCATAAAATTTTATTCTTGATTTATAAAGCCAACTCTAATTCAACAAGTGATTAATTATACATGTAACCTGATTTTAAATTATAAGAAAACACCTAAAGTATAACTAGAATTTACCAACGCCTCCCTCATGCTGTGATGCATTGGTGGGATCAAATTCTTATTGCTAGGAAGTAAAATTTTATCCGAAAGATTTATTCCTTGGACTGATATCGAAAGCCCAACGTTAGTTACTTTTGTTACAATTTTGGAATACAAAATAGCCATATTTACATTACGTCAGCGAAATAATAATATACACCGCTTGAAAATAGATTGAAAGTCCATTTAAAACTTGACAACTTGTTTTAGCTTTCTCGACTCCAGAAAGTTGTGCCGTTTAACAGCTTTTTCCTGAACTCCTTTCTGAGTGAAGAATGATAGTAGCGAAACGGTATTATCGTTATCAAATTCCTCGTCATCCTCCCTGAAATACGATATATACAGCAAGAATTTAGACCTACCCTAAAAACACTTTTTACCTTGGGAAATATACGAAGATCAAAGATTTAATTCAACTAAAAAATATACCAATGAACGCGAACTGCAGACTCATCCAAGATTTTCTGGCATGTTGACCAACTAAACCTCACAAATTGTGGGTAACCAAACACCTTATCCAAATTTGAATTCAACCACTTTTGTGTAGCTGGATCTATCATACGACAGTAATCATAGGCGTGTTTAAGGATATTATATAACTGATAAAGCGACACAATCTATCACAATGTCATTCATAAAATATTATGCACAATCTAAAAACTTAGTGGATACTAGAATTTATCAATAGGAAATGCTAAATTTAATACCAGATGGATATCCACATCCATAATCGGATGAATTATAGGATTCATCTTCTGGAAATTTCCAATTACTTAGGACTTTATCTCTAGTTACCTAAATTCATCATTGAATAGACTTAGTGCACAATCCAATATATTTAAATTTTAATTTTCGAATTCTGCTACTGGGCCGTCATATATAATGTAAATAATATCCTTACATGTAGTATTTGTAATATAGCAACTATTTAAGTAATTTACCGATTAACAAAGAGTCTATCAACCGACTGTTGAATGATGCAAATCACCAATTGGCATTACCTTGGCAATAATGCTTGCAGCGCTGACGCATGGAAATAATGCATCTGCCTTTGGAGTTACTTTAATGGTAATATCAGGAAATAGTTCAGATAGTTTGTTTTGATAATTTTCCGCTACACCAACGGTATCGACGTAAATCTAATCAATAACATTATATCATATCTTTAATAATACTTGGAAGTATTCTTTGTTAACATCATGACATGGTTAAAAGCACCTTCGTCCATACAGCAATATGTGAAATTTACAACATTACCTCTTTTACTTGAACTCCCTTCTGGATCGATTGTCTTATCAAGTTTATAGCGGCATCATGCGATACGGCATTTAAGCTATATTTCGTCCTGAAAATAGAAATAGTAAAGTCATGCAAGAGTCAGATTACTGAACATGTCCATTATACACATAGCCGCTATCCACTGTAGTCGATATCACTGATTGCAAATGATAAACTATTAATGCACTGGTACGAATGCCTCATTCATAGTGCTAATACAATGCAATCTGCGTCAGAGTTGTCTATTTGCACCATGTGATTGGGGGAAGATTACAACTAGATATGTATATAAATATACCTTGCAAGCATTTTTGTGGATATATCGCTGGGTGAAATAATCTCTACTAACCAACCAACAGAATCATCCGAGTTTATCTTTTGAAATAGTTCGTCTCTCATATCTTCCGTAAGAACCTTAGAGTCTAGATTTCATTTTAAAGGTAGTAAATAGCAACAATGAACAGAAATATAAATTTTTAGTTTATAACTTTCAATTTTACTATTGCAAGTCCATTGTGATTTATCACTTTACAGATTGCTATGTACTGGATGGAAAACTATCTATAAATATCCATCAAGGCACCCACCCTTACCAATCCATCTCGACATTATTTCTCTATAGTATCGGATAACATGAACTAATTGTCAATAAACCAATGCTAGTAATACGATAAGCTACAAAATTTGCATTCGCTATATTAGTAAAACTACTAGCAATAGGATCAAAATAATATGTTTAATCAGTATCAGACTGCCTACTGAGTGACTACCTTGCACGCACCATTCACATAGATTGCACATAGAAGAATCCTGTGGATCGAGTAAACTAATCACTAAGCAGTATTGTCGATGATTTTTGTTCAAACACTCCAAATCAGAAAAAATTTTACAATTTTGGGACGATGAGCGATTAATCTTTAGAATGGTTGATACACGTACGCTCAAAATATGACAAGTTACCTGCTACTCCTAATTCCTTCACTTTTTCAGATTGTGATAATGGATAATAACAAGCACCGTAAACCATTGCACCTAAACAAATTGAATATTAACTATATTAGGTATACGAGTATGTTTGTCGATTAGAGCATCCTAATTCAATTCTTTATTACAGTTACTATACTATGCATGCTGCACTTTCAAGTTGTTTTAAAACTGTGACTGACAAAAACCAAAATCCAATCCTACGATTTTATTGCTGTTATTAGCGTTGTTACTCGATTGGCGTAATCAACTATGCGAGTGGAAGAGGTCGCTTAGTCCATTTTTACCACGGTACACTACTGTCGTTGTCAAGGTTAATTTGATCATGACGTTTTGTGACGATGGAAATGGCTCGAACATCATCAATTTACCGATGTAATGCCATTTTTTTCCATTTAGCCAACTGTCCATCATCACAATAAGATATCGCACTCTTGAGGTAGACTCGCTTGCAATCGTACTTTTATTGGCAGAAAACTCTACATGTACAGTAAATCAAAGCTAGGACTACTAGAATTATAGTCGGTGCAATATGATCCTATCATTTGCTTATTCTAAATTGATTGAGTATTGGACATTTGTACCTAGAACTGGACCTCGGCCTGCTTCGTCGATACCTAAGCAACACGGTTCATTTTGAGCAGCTTGCGGTGTGCCAGAAGTCAACACACAGCTTTTACTATTATCCATTTCGTACTGACTAATATCCATGTTGGAAATACCACTGCTACAATATTGCTGCAAAAGGCTCAAAGTTGAAGAATTGGAAATCAAATCCCAAGTGTTATGTCGGCAATGGAATCGATCAATATTTTTCGTTGAAATGGCCTTTCCAGCTCATATTAATTGATCTCAAATTTCCATAGCTGGTCAAATTACTGTACCGATTTGCAAGTAAGCGAACCAAAACTGCATGGCCAAAAACGCGGGAAATTCGCTTGAAGGGCATTTAACTTTGAAAGCTTGACGTTACTTTCCGCTATGTGTGCGCATGAGTAGTCGCTGTTGTAAAAGAATCCTTCTCTACTTCAGTATACTGGTATAGTATAGATACTGATTCATACGTTACGACCAGTCTAGTTACACTACAGTTAGTAGTGACTACTGTCACAGTAGAGTCTTACCGGACTCAGGATAGGTGTCCTATCCTACTGTCTATCTGTCCATGATACATTGCCTTCTCATGTGTTTCTGTATTAGGTCAAATTGATGTTGGTACGGTATAAAAGTTATCCAACTAATGGTCATTTATTTTATCAATTTCTCAATCCTCTCTTCCCTACAAATTCCCGGCTTTTATACTCTCGACAACAGATTATGTCATAGGATGTCTGTAGAATCAATAGTAAGCCTTCCTAACACCACTTGCAAGTCCTAACCATAGAGGTTCTTCCCCATAGTCCTAATATTGCTCTTCTACAGTATATCGCACTGATATAGATACTGTGCTAACCTTAGCACTTTTGATAGATCAGCACAATACTGTACAAGCAATAGTGGTTCTTCCCTGTAATTGTCCTAACATGGCGATCCTGTATAGTGTGACAGTGCTATATACTGTATTAGAGTAGAAATATCTATGATAGGATAATTTTGTTAGTCTATCCTTATTTAGCTAACTTCTAATTTCGCTATACTGTGTTGTAATGTAGCACTGGCTTGTTATAACAGTGACATACATACAATTATACGTGCAATAAAGGACTAAAAGCAGCGTTCTTTTTAGCTTTTAGTATTTATCTATTTTAATTTACTATAGAAAGTGATAATATCTTTTAGTTTTACCCTGCCAAATCTTTATGTCGCCATCTTTTCTTCTTAACTAATTTACAAGGTATTATATAGATTACTATAGGAATAACTTAAGCGCAATCGCCTAATCTAAAGAAAGAGCCTTCGATAGTATATTGAGATTATAGATGAATTTGACTTAGTAACTAAACCCTATCCATAGAGAAAGGGGATTTATAACACGACAGTAAAGTAGTGTAATGTTGGTTATAATCTTACAGTTACCGTATAACTTCACACTAAAACATCAACTGTCAATACTAATATCAAAAAAAAGTAGCCATAGATGTCATATAAAATTGCTTGAAAAGCGATTACTGCAATCTTTATATAATTCGAATTTTTCGGATTCCGGATCCAGGTCGGATTTATGTCCGATATAATTCTAATTTTAATTTTTTTGTTTTAATTTTTGGGATTTTAATTTTTTGAAAAATGTTATAAGAGTTGACTTTGAAATTTGAACTTTTTGTTATGAATTTGAAACTTGGGAATTTTATGAAGTGACATGAAAGTTACATTAGGAAAGTTTAGTTGAGAAAATAGAAAAAAAGATGGCAAATGGCAGAGATTGTGTTGATTGTTATGTAGTTAGACTGTTATTTTTATGACTAAATCTTGATGTTTAAAGATTAATTTTTAGACTTTTGTAATGCACAATGATTGAAAATTAAGTTGGAAGTGAAGCTTGAGGCATTTTATAGTTAGTTTGATGGCTTTATAGTGTTTCGTAAGGGAATCATAAGGTAAGTTGAGTCTGAACTTTTAATGATTTTTGTTTTCTTAAGCGGTGCAAAGTAGTTTTTTTGAAAAGGATCTTAATTGAGATTGGTTAATAAATATTTAGTTTTAAGTACCGCTGAGGGCTCTGTGAAGCCTATAAATGATAGTGCAATCAGAAAATTTAGAGTATAGAGTAAAAGGAGATTCTTTTGAAGAATTCGCTGAATTTTAAAAGCCTTCGGGGTCGAACTGTTGTAAGTTAAAAACGTTCGTCTTTTTGTTAGGTTGTTTGGTTGTTGACAGTTTCAATTTTATCTTTATTTTATTTGCTTACTTATAATACTTAGAGTTAAGTATTTGGAAGGTTGTTTGATCAGACTCTCTCACATTTTCTTAATAAATTGTTGATCGGTTGATTCCCCAATTTTTTTTTTGATGTCAAAGTTTTGTTAAGTCGACCAGAGTGCAAAGAAAGTAGAATCACAATTTGTTAGAACTTTAATAGCTTGGTTTCTACACATTTCATTTCATTACATACATGTACTGAAATTAGTAGTCATATGCATGATTCCAAAGTTAATCGTACTAACTATTACTCATGAACTGTTAAGGAAGCGTTTATAAATGCAGTGTATCGTGCAATAAAGTTTCTAGCTCTACTCATCACCCTATTTATTCTACAAAACATTATTATTTCTCAATGGTGAATAGCAGACATGAATCAATTTAAATTAGAGGACCCACATAGTTCATCATGAAATGTTTTTGAACAACAAAATGATCTATTTTCTTAAATCTTCAGTCAGTGTATGATCCTAAACTTCTTACTCGTCTAACGAAACATGAAATCAAATTAATCTATTCTGCAATTAATAATTTCCTGGTACGAAGGTACTTAACAAAGGTCAACCATATCATGTCGTTAACCAATTAGATCATAACCAGGGATCATTTCCATCAAACATGCACCCAGCTAGTTGAATTAGGCATAAAGTCCCCGTAGTAACCGAGTAATAGTCTCCTGTTATCACTATTAGTCATCTACTGTTCTATTACAATCAACTGAGATTGTTTTAGTCCCACCACTGAGAAATTAAGATGACTACTGGTATACACAATATCAAGTTATTCCCTCATAAAATAACAACTTTTAATGACAGTCAGATATCATGGGATTGGAAAAATTATTGTTTTGTTTCTAGTCTATGTTATATTAAGTCTTTCCTATAGCCGATCGGTCCAGTCTGTGATAGAATTACTGCAATAGCATTGAAATGGGTAGATGACTGCAATGCTGCCAATCTTTACTTAATAAAGACTCCAAGTTTAGCGCTAACTTTAATACATTTACAGCCTTCAATTTTCAAAAACCTGAGCAACGTGCATGTTAACATACTGATTTATTGTGTACAGTTGTAAGTATCATTATTTAGAATGGTTTAGTCTAAAGCTATGATTAAGATTATCCTTCAGGGATTTAGTAATCAAAAATATTTTTCTTACACCATTTCTCATGTAAAAGTAGCTGTACGTAAAATAATTAGATTAAAATATATACGAAATAAAGGTTAAGGCAGATAGATCTCTTTTAATCATTCAACCAGTGAAATTTTGCAAGTATCAGAATGGTTTATACAACTTTTAAAAGTTGTTTACAGTTAATGTATGCACGTAGTCTTTTATGCTATTGTATAAAGCAAAATACATTGAGCACATAGAAATAACAACTCTTGTAGTACCATTTCTTTAGTCGAAATACAATATAATGTTAGCTCCGGCATTTCAATGTCCTCGTCTACCTAGGCATGATATATTTAGATTTATATCGTTTACTAAATATCCATAATGTTGACTTGGATGCTAAATGAATCAAGCTCAATAATGCTCTTGTAACAATAGTGTCTGAAGTTTCTATTATTGAATCTTACTATATATAATCGGGGTACTCTTACTAAGAACAAGCTGCCTCCGGCTATCGATAAACGATTACGATTAATAGCTACTGTTAAATCCGTCATTGTTAGCTTAACTAATTATTCTGCAGTAGAACAATGTTCCCTTAAGGCATGGCGGCTATACTGTTCTTATTTTTGCCTCTTCAACTATTGTCTTTGCATTAATACACATAATACCATCTTTCCCTATAAATAGTTTGGCGTTTTCCCAAAAAATATAAGAAATTTTAAAATTTTAAAACATCTATATTTGTTTCATAAGGATGCAATTGGCCTTAATTCATTTTTATGTACTATGAAGGTAGCATTTAACTGTGGTAAGTGTTTTTTATCATTTCCTTTCTGCACAGTAACGAAGTTAATTTAGATAAGGAGATACCTTCTGTTAAATTGTATTTTTTTGCATCTTATTAACAAACTAATTACTTAGCACTTTTAATAAAAATGAAACTTTTGACTATTTGATCACTTAATACTACAGTACTATACTTCAGTATTTTAGCGAGTATGCCCTGACGGGCTTACAAAATTTGGTAATCCACTAGTGAAACGGCAATAACCACTGACCAATATCACGAATCGTTTCTCATGTAATCTATATCATACATACGAAGCTAATTAATTTAATAAGATTAACACCACTTCAAGTACTCAAATATTTAAGATTATCGTCAGATTATAGATTACACCCTCCAGGTAAATTAAGTCATTTTTGGTATATTATTCTTAATTCATCGTCAATATATCACAATTAATACTGCATACAGTTAAATGAATCTGCCGCAGTCAGATGGTCTAATTACAAACTTTGTGATACTGTACTAATATAAAGGATATGGCGTATTTGAATGATAAAGTAATTTAATTAACTTACTCCTTTATTAAATGGTTAGCTTTATAGCCATTGTACGATGACTTGAGAACTGCATTATATTCGGCATTTCTCCTTCGCATGTACATAACATTTCAAAGGATGCCATGCGTAGCTACTCTACGTGAAATCGTAGTAATCCATTATTACTAACATACGTTATTAATTTTAGAAAATGAATTGTAATTCGTAGCACTTACGTCCAAAATCAAATTACGCTTTGAAATAGATTCGTGAAACTAGTTTTCTGCATGAATAGTAAGCTATAAATCGTATTTGTGGAGCTTTATTGTAGATAAAATGATCGATAAAATTATAGAACTGATCATTCATTTACTTCGCAATCTTTGTTCCCTTTTTACTATTCTACAAATGTACCACATAACAGGATACAACCTAAAATCACCCATTTCGACGTATTTCTGCTAATAAAGTATAAGATTAAATTTCTTTTGCTATAATAATTGTAAGTCGACAAAACTACAGTAACTGCTTGTCACAGAATCAGCTTCGTGACAAGGATAACGTAAAATAAGTCTCTAAATTACTATAGTCTCCGGGATTCAGTATCCCTACTCACAAGAATTTAGACGCCTTTGATTCTACGTTAAACTCAACTGGACAATTGAGAACTACTTTATTCAACTATCTGACGGGCTTATATACCCTTTTACAGCAGCTAACATTCACGAGTCATCTTATAAAAATACTTCTTAGGTGAGAACATCTACTAACTAATTTTTCACAGTCGGACTACAATATGTCCATTCACAGAATTATTTCAGTGCACATTACAGCACAGCATTAAATTTACTGTAACATATTTATAATTAGAGTAATTCCTATTGTAAGTAACTAGTTGGTAATATATTATCACTATATTATATTAACCAAATTTAGATAGCTATTTCTTCACGGTAGTTCGTACCGTGATACTGCTCAATCAATTCATTCCTTTCACTGGCTTTCAGGTTTAGCTTACTAACCATCAATAAATACTTTATAGAATATCGATATCTAGTCATAATGTTTAATAAATCAAATGTACGATAAGCAATCGCAGTTACTGCATAAATTTAATTATAAAGATCAAGATCTAGGAAGTAATATCATGGTTCCTTGTAAGAAAGGCCATTCCTCATTTTGAATTATTCATACCTTTAACTGTAATGTATTGAGATTGTACCATTATTTTTAGCATAATCATAAAAAGGGCATTTTAGTTTATTCTTCAATATAGACAGTATTCGCAGTTTTCCGTACAATATATAGATATAGGTTGTCCTTTTATATTTCTCTACTACTGCTTACAATCATGCAATCATTCATTATTAGATAAACTATTATGATGCAATTACTGCATTTAATTCCATAGCTTTACTCTCTGTATGAGTTCTATCTCTGAAGCAATAAGTACCACTGATTTCTGATTCAATTCTCAATTGCTGCCTTGCTAGTATTTTGTATGTTACATTACAACAATTTACCTAGTGGTCTACAGTAACTAACACAACGTTATATGATTCTATCTACAATGAAAGAATTTATTTACTCATGATCATATTTGTGTCAGTCTACAAACGATAAGTAGCTTCTGTAATTCTTCGAATCGTTTATCTTACCTGGATGAAGCACTGCTGCCGCATTTGTATTTCTAGTTCTTCATGATAATTTTTGTGCCAAGGGATATTTTTGTTAAATAATGGTACGCCTCAGTCTTTTTATTTTTAACTTTGAACCAGATTTATAAATAATCACTTTGTAATTATCAATATTCAGCACTAACTTCTATCTATTAATTTTTATATTTATTAAGTATTTTAAGAATTCTGAACTTAAAATAATACATATACTCTACTACATTCATATGCTCACTTCTCAATTACATTAGCAAAATTACGTATTTACTGTAACGTAGCCACAGCATCTTTTTAATTATAAGAATAGAATTTCATTCCGTAATTTTACTACACACTAAATGAAAAAATATGAACTAGAAAAATGTCGTATAGAAGCTATCTCTTGGCTTAAGTTTAGTTTATGAAAGCTGTTTCTAAGAAAGGGATATCATGGGTGCAATACTTTTTTATTTCACACTTCAGGGGCCGATGATATGTAAATATCTAGCAGTTGATGGATTATAATGATTCTATTCTAAATTAACCTTGATCATAAATGGCGTAATACTTACTTGTATCTGTGTCATACAATTTTCTATTGAATGTCGTATAATGGAATTTATTTTCATTACTAGATGTTCCAAATTTGCGATGAAGATATTGTTATTGCCGGCATATCTTGCCGAATGCCTGAATCCGATAATGCCGAAGAATTTTGGCAACACTTAATTCAAGGAAATGATATGGTCACCGAAGATGATCGACGTTGGCCGCCTGGTATATTTGGTTTACCTAAACGAAATGGTAAATTGAAAGATATAGAGCACTTTGATGCAATCTTCTTTGGAGTCCATGCTAAGCAATGCAACACTATGGACCCTCAGTTAAGAATATTATTAGAAGTAACTTACGAAGCAATAGTAGATGGTGGAATAAATCCAATAGAATTTCGTGGTCGAAAATGGGGTGTTTTTGTCGGTCAAAGTGGATCGGAAGCCATGCAAGCTTATCAATCGAATCCCGACATACAAATTGGTTATAGTATGACAGGATGCAATTGCTGCATGTTATCCAATCGATTATCATATTATTTCAATTTTAATGGTGAGACAGCAATTAAATTGCTACATAGTTTATAATAATGAAAGGAAATTTAATTGATGTATCAATTAAATAATATACTCATCTACTTGAACTGCTTTACATTTCAATAGGACCTAGTATTTCAATAGATACAGCTTGCTCTTCATCTCTAATAGCTTTTGATCAGGCTATTAGAGCAATTAAAACAGGAGTTTGCGAGGGGGCTATCGTCGGTGGCTTAGGACTTGATGTTAAACCTCACACAAGCTTAGAATTTATGAAATTAGGCATGCTATCACCTGAAGGCGCCTGTAAATCTTTCGATAATTCTGGTAATGGATATTGTCGATCAGAAGGTAATCTACTCTCTCATAGCATGGTATACATGTATTTTAATCGTCACATACACCCTGTGATAATAGTGGGGCAAAAACACTCACATATCGCTAGAACAAGATCTAGAAGCTCAAGTCAACTTGTTTACTTTTTAGATACAAATAAATTCTATGCTTTCCAAGGTTTTACATATTATGTACCGTCATAGTATTATCGTAGATAAAACTAGAAACGTACAGACAACGATAACCAAACAGTAGGATTTATTCATAATGACCACAGGCTAGATGTCGTATTATAAAATACTATCTATACCAGCTTGGTTAACTCTTCCTCATGATGTCGCTTTACGTATACACACTACGCGATGCAGAATTTACAGTATAAGCACAAAAAATTTCATTATGCAACTACCACGTACTCTGGTACATGATCCAATTGCTTTCCCTAACTGAATTTTATTATACCGTGCTAACGATTAAATATCCCCCATTTGTATCTCATCCACTTGTATTCTAGCCTGTAGTAAGGTATTTAAATTATTATACGCCTAAAGAACATCAGCTAACATAAAATTTTTATGATTAATCTTGAGTATAGTAGTCTAACCATGAAGAAATGTGTTCCTTAAGATAGTGGCACAATTTAAAGTCCAATTATCATACTTTACAATTTTAATGACTAGATTTTATGATGTTTCGTGATCCCAGAATAAGTACAATTTATCTTAGCTATATGTATACGTAGAGTATATACGAATATTACTAACTTTGAACAAATAAACGTTTAGGAATCGTCTCATTGTTACTACTTAAGAAATCTCAAGCTAAACGAAATTATGCGACAGTTATCCATAGTAAATCAGCTAGCGATGGCTTTAAACAACAAGGTATAACGTTCCCTAATGGAGCTGCTCAAAGTCTATTACTTCAACAAGTTTATCAAGAAGCCAGAATCGATCCGCAAAAAGAGGTTAACTATGTCGAAGCTCACGGAACCGGCACCAAGGCTGGCGATCCACAAGAAGTCAATGCTATCGCTTCTGTCTTTATTGGAGAAGACCGCCAGAATAAACCTCTTTTAATAGGATCTGTTAAGTCGAACATGGGCCATTGCGAGGCGGCGTCTGGCTTAGCCGGTGTAGTCAAGGTTATTCTGAGTGCTCAACATGGCATTTTACCCCCAAATTTACATTTTAATCAGCCTAATCCAGATATTCCGGGATTACTTGATGGAAGTATAAAAGTAGTAACAGAACCCACAACTTTCCCAGGTGAATAACGATTAACTAAGTACCGTACCGAAGTAACTCACCATAGTTACTTCAAAGTAAACATTATCGCATATTGTATTTTATTATATATTAATTTAACAAAAAGTAACGTAACTTTACTTGACGAATTTTATTTTAATAGATGGATACGTTGGAATTAATTCTTTCGGTTTTGGGGGAGCTAATGCTCACGTATTATTAAAACCCAACGTATATTATCAAGAAGATGCTGATCGAAGTAAACATCAAGAACTATCACTTATTCTATGTTCTGGGCGTACACGAGAAAGCGTCCAAAGCTTAATCCATCTTGGTCACAAAAATACCGATAATCCGTATTTAATTAACTTAATTAACAGTATATCTGCTACACCGATAAGTAATAATTATCATCCGATGCGTGGCTTTGCTTTACTAAATAGTCAAGAGTCTATTCAAGATATCGATCTTACTGTATCAGATAAGCGACCTATCTGGTGGATATTTTCTGGAATGGGAGCTAATTGGAATAAAATGGGTCAGAACATGATGAAATTTCCGGTTTTCAAAAATACAATCACGAGAGCACGCGAAATATTGATGCCTACAGGATTAGATCTTATAAATATATTATTTAGTGAAGATCCTAATGTTTACGATAATGTAAGAGATGCATTTATTGGTCTTGTAGCAGTTCAAATAGCTCTTATAGATTGTCTTCGAGCTTGTGGAATCGAATACGATGGTAAATATTGTAATTTAAATGGAATTTATTATATTATGTAGACGAATTAGCTAGTTCAAAACTAATCCGCCTCTATAATGTAGATTTTAACACTTGAATACTTCGATCAGTAACAGACACAAATTTAAAATTAAAATAATTACAGGTTTAATAGGTCATAGTGTTGGCGAAATAGCTTGTGGTTATGCCGATGGCGCACTTACAGCTGAGACAGCTTTACAGATTGCTTACTGGCGAGGACAATCGATTCTTGACGCTAAGGTAGATAGCGGAGCCATGGCGGTAGTAGGACTAAGTTGGGAAGAAGCCAAACAACGTTGTCTGCCAGATGTTGTAGCAGCTTGTCATAATGCTGAAAGAGCTATTACTATTTCAGGCGATCCAAATCAAATTGACGTGATGATTACGGAACTTCAATCTCAAGGTTTGTAACTTTTCGGGTACTTTGTTTTAATTTGTAGAATGAAAGTAGAGTATAATATACGATTAGATCAGAAGCCTACAATTCTATTTGTTTAACATTGCTCGCTCAACAATAAAAATAAACGTAATAATTATTGCTTTTATTATTCATCAAGAATTGATAATATCCTGTAATCATAGTACGTACGATACAATTTTATATCGATTTAAATTTATAAGTGCTGTTAATTTATCTAGAAATTTTTACAAGAAGAGTTAATAGTTCCGGCATAGCTTTCCATTCTCCATATATTGCTAAAGGTGCATCGCTATTCAAATCTGCCTTGAAGAAAATTCTTAAAACGCCGAAGTTGCGCTCTTCGCGATGGATAACTACCTCAGTTCCCAAATCAGAAATCAACGATGAATACGCAATGTACGCTTCAGCAAAATATTACCATAATAATTTTATCAATCCAGTACTATTCTATGAAGCGATGACAGCTATACCAGATAATGCTATAGTTATCGAAATTAGTCCTCATCATATTCTTCAAGCTGTTATAAAGCGAAATCTCACATCGAATTCGTTAGTACTTAAAACCATGCGTAAGCATCATTCCGATAATCGTGAATTATTCTTAAATTCGCTTGGCAAGCTGTATCTTCAAGGGATAAATATTGATCCTTCGCCTCTTCTGCCTAAAATCTCTTATCCGGTAATAACTTACACTTGAATATGTCAATATTTAAATCTCAAGTATGTAGATATATTATAAATACAAATACGACATTAAAAACTAATGTATATGTGTACCATAATAGCACTACAGTACTCTTACTTTCTTATCGTTAATATAATTTTAGCGTATCAAAATATCTTAAACAAGATAGCAGGTGTACACTATGCAGCTCGCTATAGTATATAGTAAAACTTCAGTACTCATAGCACTTATACTGTAGGATAATATATTTACAGCAATTATTTACCCATGATAAGATGTTAAAGCAATATATTTGTGATTTTAAAATATATAATTAAAGTATCTCCTTGAATTCAAGCTTTACACAGTCAATTAATATAAAATTGATGATGGGTAATTCTTTGCTTGTAGCTTTATCGTAAAAAAATTCTGCTAGATGTAATTTAGTAACAGTAAACTGACATTGCACCACCATATATGAAGCGTTAACTTATAGTATAAGATATGCATTCTTTATTCAATGTAAAATTGTAATTATGATCAAGAAGATTTCCTTTTTCTTATTTCTCATTATAGGTGCCTGCAGGTACTCCGTCTATTGCACCAGCAATCACCTGGGATCATTCTCAAACTTGGGCTATACCTACTCTCGATATGTTTTATTTAAAGAGTAATCAAAACTCTTCTTCTGCTATTACATTCGATATCGATCTCTCCGCAGATTCGCCTGATCATTATGTCTTGGGCCATGTAATCGATAACCGAGTAATTTATCCATTCGTAGGTTATTTATTACTTGCTTGGAAAGCGTTAGCTCGATTATTAGATACAACCTATACAAGACTACCTGTTATATTTAAAGACGTTGAAATTCATCAAGCGACGTTACTACCATCTACTGGTATTGTCAAGTTTAACGTCGATATTAAAGTGAAAACTGGAAAATTTGAAATAGAACATTGCAATAATATAATAGTTACTGGAGAAATTAAAGAAGCTGAAGAGAATATTGCTGTTAGTCAGTTATCGCCAATAGATCATAAAGAAAAGTTAAGATTATCTAATGAAGATGTCTATAAGGAGCTTCGTGTACGCGGATATGATTATAGCTTAAGCTTTAGATCCATTCATGATGCATCACGTGATGGAACAAGTGGCCAAATTATCTGGGAAGGAAATTGGGTTACGTTTCTTGACGCTATGCTACAAATGTCAGTAGTAGGCTTATCTGGACGTAGTTTACCCTTACCAACACAAATTCGTTATATTTCTATTAACCCCACGAAACAAACTTACTACTTACAAGAGGATGAGATAGATAGCTCTAATAATGATGAAGTGCAAGAAGGAGTAACTAACTCACACCATCAATTAGTACAATATATTCTAAATCCTCATACTAATGTTCGAGTTTTAGGTAATATTGTTGAAATGCGTGGAGTAAATATCACTATTGCGCCGCGGCGACAAGATGATCCAGACGGATTAACCTTAGCTGAGTATCATTTTATACCTTATTTTGAGCAACAAACCATGCACAATAACGAAATGTTGGTCCAATATAAATCTCACTTACAAGACTTTATTCAAAACAATTGTAATCAAATATCACAACAATCACAGAATAACTTAAATGAGAATAGTATAGTTAAGAAATTAACACAGCTACTAGATAGCAATACGCAAATCGATCATGACTTAGATAATGACAAGATCGAACAATATCTAGAGAATAACAATTATAGTTTATTCCAGCTATTATACAAGGTCTATCAAGTTAAATCCGATATCGGAGCAACGCATCTAGTAGAAGATATTGTACCTGACAGTATAAATTTATTAAGATACGATATTTTATTGTCGGCATTAATTTCGCCTCGATACTTAAGGACTTCGATCGATATTGTATATGAGAATATGTTTACATCGCCTATTCGTATTGTAGAACTTAATGCTGTCTATGGACAACTCTTTCGAAGTGTAATCCATTCTATATTATGGCATCCTCAATCAAGTGTAGCTTATACGGCTTTAGTTAGACACACTGAACATCAAACTAAATTAGAGGGCGAAGTTAAAGCTTTTAGTAACATAGCTAGAATAATGCTGTTTAATAAGGATGTTATAAATGATCAAATGAAAAAGTCTACAGATTTACTTTTAAGTAGTTACACTACTCTGTATGAGAATATCTCAGCTGAAGATCAGATCTCGTTAGCAGCTACATTATTAAGTGACGGCGGATTTTTCATTTTACATGAATGCACTCGTAATTTTGCAATAGTTTTAGCTTTATTTGCTTACAATAAGAATATATGGACAGATAGTAGGCCGAATGGTCATCGTTTGTTAACAGAAAGTGAATGGATAGCTATTTTAGAAAAGAGTGGATTTCAAATTGTCTCCATGAAAAGCGATGGTCTACTGTCGACTTTATTTATCTGTCGATATCGAAATGTTGAGAATATTCAATCGTCATCTATGCTATTAGACATTAATAGCATCCAATTTGATTGGGTCGAGATATTAAAGGAAATGATGGCTGATAATCGTAAACAAAAGCAAAATAAAAAGATATGGATAATCGCTGATTCTAATAATACATCTGGTGTAATTGGATTTATGAACTGTTTACGTAAAGAGCCAGAAGGTGAAAATGTTCGTTGTATTTTCAATGCTTCTCTTGAAGATTCGAATTCATCTATAAATATAATATCTGAAATGGAGAAAATTCAACAACACGATTTAATTATAAATGTTTATCGCGATGATCGATGGGGATCATTTCGTCATTTATATATTTCTCAACAACAAACATTATCAACAAGTCATCCGCATGCTTATATTAACATGGATATTCGAGGGGATTTATCGTCATTAAAATGGTTTACTTCCTCTATCAGTTATACTCGACCTAATAATGATGACGATGATGATTATGACGAAGTTTTATATCATATTTATTATGCCCCTATCAATTATCGCGATGTTATGATTGCTACTGGTAAACTAGCGCTAGATGCTCTACCTGCTAATGTCTCGACACAAGAACGTATTCTAGGCATAGAATATTCCGGAAAAGATGATCAAGGCCGCTGCGTAATGGGATTATTACCTTGTAATGGTATGGCTACAACTATTGTAACTAAAAAGATATGGTCATGGTTTGTACCTGAGAAATGGAGTCTACAACAAGCAGCGACTATCCCAATAGCTTATTCGACAGCGTACTATGCTCTAGTTTTAAGAGGCCAAATTAAATGTGGAGAATCAGTATTAATACATATTGGCGCCAGTAATGTCGGTCAAGCTGCTATTAGAATCGCATTATCTAAAGAATGTAGAGTTTTCACGACTGTCGGTACAGAAGAAAAGCGTCAGTTCTTATTACAACAATTTCCACAATTATGTAACGAAAATATCGGCAATTCGCGAGATACATCTTTTGAGGAAATGGTTATGAACGCTACTAATGGACATGGAGTAGATATAGTATTAAATTCGTTATCTGGAGAAAAGTTACATACGAGTATTCGTGTATTAGCTGATCACGGTCGATTCTTAGAAATTGGCAAATACGATTTATCAAAGAATACCTCGTTAGGTATGGCTATATTTCTACGTAATATTTCTTTCCATGGTATCTTATTAGATGCGTTACTCGAAGACGACAATCCTGAATGGCCGCAAGTAGCTAAACTTGTATCGGATGGTATAGCATCTGGTATCGTGCAGCCTTTGAAAACGATCGTATTCGATCGCGACGATTTAGAAAGTGCATTCCGATTTGTAGCTCAAGGTAGACATATTGGGAAAGTACTAATTCGAATCCGTGATAACGAGAATGATTCTATCGATAAATCGATCAACTTAGCTAGTAGAGTTCGATTTAATTGTATAGCGGATAAGAGTTATATTATAACAGGTGGTCTAGGAGGATTTGGTTTAGAGTTAGCTCAATGGCTAATCGATCGAGGAGCATGTAAACTAGTCTTAACGACTACAACTGGAGTTCGTAATAACTATCAAGCAGGCAAAATATCTACATGGAAAGATAAAGACAGTGTAGAAGTTTTGATATATAAATGTAATCTTGCTCTTGAAGAAAGTGTAGAAGATTTAATTTTTGTGGCTGATCAGTTAGGTCCTATTGATGGTATTTTTCACTTAGCTGGAGTATTTGATGATGGATTATTCGAAATTCAAAGTCAGGAGTCTTTTCATAAAGTCGCTAAAGCTAAAATTGAGGGTACAAAACATTTAGATACTATTTCTCGTATACAATGTACTACACTACAATGGTTTGTTACTTTCTCATCGTATGTTTCTGTTCGTGGTAATATCGGCCAAACTAATTACGGTTATGCTAATTCTGCTATGGAACGTCTATGTGAAAAACGACATTATGATCAATTACCCGCAACATCGATACAGTGGGGAGCTATCGGAGATACTGGTATGGTATTTGATCGTCTTATAGGCGATAATAATACACAGATTGGAGGGATGTTACCGCAACGAATAATTTCTTGTTTAAAAGTTATGGAAACATTGCTGTTTAATAAGCATCCAGTAGTTTCTACTTTTATACAAGCAAATCGTGGAAATAACTTTAGCAGCGATAATCAGATTTCATCATTTGATCTGTTAAATAGTATCGGCAATATATTAGGAGTTAAGGATCTGACGACTATTAATGAAAATTCGTCTCTATCCGATCTTGGATTAGATTCATTAATGGGTGTTGAAATTAGACTACTAATGGAAAGAGATTGTAAACTATCGATGTCTATCGATGAAGTTAGACAGCTTACAATTAATAAACTCAAAGAAATCAGTTCGTCGCTGACATCAAACGATCACAGCGCAAATAATATAGAATCGAGATTACAAACGATAACTGCTATGCAGTTTGACGGATTTCCGATCAAAGCGCCTTTACACTATGATACACTGATTTCATTAAATACAGTTACATCTAAAGATAGGCCAATGTATATGTTCCATCCGATAGAAGGATCTGTCCAACGATTTACAGATATCGCAAGTAAACTAGCTATACCCGTTTACGGTATTCAATTATCGCCTGAAGCACCCATGGATAATACAGAAATCTTAGCTAGATTTTATTTAGATAAAATCAGAGAGAAGCAAGAAAAAGGTCCTTATCGTTTATGTGGATATTCTTATGGCTGTATGATCGCTTACGAGTTAGCGATTCAGCTACAACGAGAATCGAATGACAATGTAGAAGTGTTATTTATGATTGAAGGATCATATTGCTCTACGAGTGATCGTTTGAAGATTTATAGAGAGCGATATCGAAAAGAGCTTACTGACGATAACGTATACTATTCTGAAATGCTATTTTATTTTATTCAAGCTTACATTTCTAATATCTATCACGATACTCTTGTCGATGAATTGATTAGTTTAACGTCGCTTGAACAGAAAATTATTCATATTGTATCGTTAATTATGAAGGAACATCCTAATAGTGAGCGAAAATTTTTAACATGGGTTACTAATTCGTTTATTAATTTAAACAAAATTGCCTATGATTATGTACCATCATCAAAATTTGACGGAGACATATATATGATAACAGCATCAGACAGGGATGAAATAGCAATGGCTCTAGGCAATGACTACGGACAGCAAGTTCAATGCGATGGAAAAGTATATAACAAGATGATAGAAAGTAATCATGTCTCTATATTGCACGACGAGAATTCAGTTAATATTGCTAGTTATATAACTTCGAAACTTGGATAAGAAGATAACAGCGTGTTTTCATCTCAATAAAGTAGTTTAAGTATTGTGATCAGTATACTTTAGGTCAATAATCACACTTGAAAATAGGTTTATTTGTATTGATGTAAGAAAACAAGCTACTAATGCTATTATTGAAGTTATGATTTTAAAGCGATATTACATAACCTGCTTTTATAAACATGTGTGCTCTATGGTTATATATTATATGCATGAATAAACACTGAACTAGTTTATAAGTCTTTACATCCGTATTACTTATTCCTAAGTATGTTATGATAATATAATTGAAAACAATTATGGATTATTTAAAGTATATCTTAAATATCAAGTCTGTCATTTATTCGTTATAGTATTATAAGTACTTGTGCTGTTAATTATACTTAATATCTTGCAATCATTCCTAAATCACGGCTTCGTATTATACAGTAAAATCCATGATTTTACAATTTACGTTAACTTGCTTTTTTGTAGACATTATAATCATGTTTTTAGTGGTATTACTATATCTTATTTGAAGTAATTATGGCTTTTCTGTTAATTCACGTACTAGCACATTTGAGAAATAAATAAGCATAATTAAAAACATTTTTATTATCACTCTAATCATCGTAAGGTTAATAATCTGCTTTTGTTAAAAAATATCAGCAGCAATTTGATGAATGTAATGACTTACGATTTTATAAAATAAACTGCAGACAAATAATTCACGTACTAATAAATCAAGGAAAGAGTAGAATATTATTGCATAATCATGTGAATTTTATTAGACGCGATATTTGGTGTTTTATTACCAAAAAATATTATTTACTCGCTTGCGTACTTACATGTAGTACGCTGTAGTATTGTTACGACATTACGTTACCTAAAACTACAGAGTTTATAGAAATATTAATGTTCACAGTATTTCAGTGTTACTGTAGAGCTGATTTTATCGAAAATAGCTGGTTGCGAATTTACTGAATAAAGTTGTACTATAGAATAGAGTATAGTATTTTTAGTGATGGTGTGCTTTTTAGAAGGGTAGATCTTAGGTGTTATGGTCAAAATACTACTGTATACACTTATATAAGATTAGGGCAGTCATCTTTAGAGAGAACTCACTGTAAGTGCTTTGCATTAGACTAGTAAACTTGTCGGAAAGTAGTCCGTGACAAGTATATATTGCATATATAACTATAATTATGATATTATTTCTTTTGCTACACCGTTATAATTTCAATTTAGAGGAGTTAGAAGCCTAATGTATATCGCTCTATCAATACAGTGAAGAGCTATCGGAGATACTGGTACGATATTCGATCGTCTAATAGGCGATAATAATACACCGATCGCAGGTGTGTTACCACAACGAATAATTTCTCATTTAAAAGTTATGGAAACATTACTACTTAATAAGCATCCAATAGTTTCCGCTTTTGTACAAGCAAATCGTGGAAGTAACTTTAGCAGCGATAATCAGATCTCATCACTTGATCAGCGAAAATTTCGTTTATGTGGAGCTACAACGAGAATCGAACGACAATGTACAAGTGTTATTTTTGATGGAAGGATCGTATTGCTCTACGAGTGATCGTTTGTAGATTTTTATTGAGAGCGATATCGAAAAGAGCTTACTGACGATAACGTATACTAACTATTCTGAAATGCTATTTTATTTTATTCAAGCTTATATTTCTAATATTTATCACGATACTCTTGTCGATAAATTTACTAGTTTAGCATCGATTGAACAGGAAATTTTTCATATTGTATCGTTAATTATGAGGGAACATCCTAATAGTAAGCGAAAATTTTAGCATGGGTTGCTATAGTAATTCGACTATTAATTTAAATAAAATTGCCTATGATTATGTACCATCAAAACTGCATGGAAACATATACATAGTAGCAGCGTCAGGCAGAGATGAAATAGCAATAGCTCTAGGCAATGAGTACAAACAGCAAGTGCAATATGATGGAAAAGTATAAGAAAATATGATAGAAAGCAATCATGTCCTTATATTGCATGACGAGAATTCAGTTAATATTGCTAGTTATATAACTTCGAAACTTGAATAACTAGATAACAGCACATTCGTATTTCAATGAAATTGTTAAAATATTATGATTAGTATACTTCAGGTAGACAACTACGCTTGAAATAGGTTTATCTAAATTTATGTAAGAAAATAAGTTACTAATGCTGGCATTGAAATTGAAATTTTACGGCGATACTACAAGGATTGCTCCGATAAATATGTATGAAAGAGTATATATCTACGTATGGACTTGTATATCATACGCACAAATACGTACTGAACTAGTTTTTATTATTTAACTCTGTTTGTTATTAGTTAAGTGGCATTTATAAAATAAAATAATTATACTTAGCATTTACCTTTTAATATCTAATTTATTTTATCAGAAACGTTTCGATACGGCATTCCTACTTACATTCGCAGATAACTATATGAGCGCTTTCTTCGGAATTCTATATCGTGACTGATTCAAACAAGTTATATTATCATTTTATGTACAGTAAATATAGTCATTCATTTCAATAAACCATTGTCGATAATATTGTAATTAATTTACCTAAAGTAATCCTAAGTATATCAGTTTAAAAAAATGTAGATTATTTAATATTTTGCAAGTATAAGCGAACATTTTTGTCGTTCTTTTTTCATTAATAATGAAAATGTAAAATTTTTCATTTAAGTATTCCGACATAAATTGACCGTGAAGGAACCATTATTAGCTATCGTCATCCCTGGGTGGAAGACTAGCTAAATATTCCTTAAGCTTTTTTACTTGCGATTCTTCACAGCATCCATTCTTAATTAGGGTTAAACTGTTATCTCGGTCAAGCTTTCCGTAATGCATTAAATGATTTCCTAGGCGTAACTTTGCGTAACGCATTATGAAGTGTAAAATAGCCCAACGCAATTCTAGTAAATCTCCATCTAGTACGAATATTTAAATATAATAATATTTGGAATTAAGGATTGATTAAATTTAAATATTTCTTAAAACAAGAAATCTTACTCCAGTAACAAACTAACCTTTATAAGGCTTTAATGCATCAGTTAAGAGTGTTGCTATATTACTTAAGATACTACTTTGACTAGCAAATGTAGAGAAAACATCGTCATGATTTAGGATGCCTAATATTTTACAGCACGTCCAATCATCCCCTACAATTTGAAAGTGAGTTATAATGGCTTCGTAATAGGACTGTATGCATTGATAGCATTGAGTAACATTTAGTGCTTCTAGCCACAGATTGCTAACATGGATCAATCTTTCAAGGCTATCTGCTGCAACCTGTAATGATGGATTTGATGGTAAGTTTACGCATGGTTATATATTTAAATTAGAGGTGAGGAGATAAAATGCTTTATGATTTCAGTAGTATATAATAAGATTGATATCTATTCACTTATTTGCAGTATTTTCTGTGCTGCTGAGCATTAATATGATACTAGTTGAAAGATTACTTCTAGATAAACTATAATGATAGGGAGTACTATATTAAGAAATAATGTTTTCGGTGAGATTATGAAATATTCTTACCCTATAAATTAATATCGATGACGGATTGTTTACTTTATCAAATTTGTGATTGAGTACATCTAGTATAGTGGCTATAGATAAAGCAACAAATGGTCTAGATAATCGTAACGATGACAATTTCTTAATCGCTGAACTGGATATGATTGTCAATGAAGCCAAACAGATACATACACTTGTGTCAAACCTAGAACAGGCAAACAAAATAAGTATTAAGTGTAATCGATTCAGTTTATTGCGTTGCGCCAATATCTTGCATACTAGTCGGTTAAAATCATGTTAAAAAACTGTAATGAAATTATTAATTGATGAAATAAATATGATATAGAATGCTAATCTTGCAGTAGGTTTCTATCTGCAAAGTTATTTATACAACACAATATCTGGAAATTTAGTGTATTAGTGTTGTGAGGTGGTTATTATATGGTACCCCGTAGTAATAACCCACCGAATGATCCATCGAAGACCTTACAGAAAATGACCATAAATTTGTTTCTATTAATAGGATACGAATACGTTCGCATATTACTGTACTGAGCGACAAAGATGGTGTTATCTGGCCAAGTTTATGAAAGTGTGTTTCCATATTAATTTCAGGTAATATCTTAATTTAAAACTTTAATTTTACACATAAACATATTTACCTTACGGACTTCTTGGATAAACTGTCATTAAGTGCTATCATTAAATTTTTACAGAGGATAGTAGCTAAAATTAATAGAAGAAGCAAAGGTAAAAATATTTTAATATTAGTAAAATAGTAAATTAACGTTAAAGATTTTTACCACAATGCAAGATGATGGTGTGCAACATGATTATATGCATGTTACGTGCACATATAATTACAATCTGTGCGATACCGCCAATCTACTTAATCCTGTATAAAGAGATTAGCATACATTAACACAGAAGATAATCTTGATTGAGACTGCCTAGCCAAGCATCGACGTGCATTACATATTAACCTGCTGTAGGTGTATAACTGTGTTAATTTACAGGTAGCTACAGATGGTGGTGGTACATGCGCAAGTGAAAACAAATTAATTATGATTTTGGTTTAAGGCTTGGCACTTTATGAAATGCCACATAATCAGGGACTACGGTAAGCAAGATCTAATTCGATATGAACCACTGCAGTATTGTATCAGCAGATTATTTCATCAAGCTACAGCGAAAAGTTTCTTCTTTGATCGAACAAGTAAACTATACGACGACGAAATTGGTATAACGATAGTTAGGAACGATACTTTACTAAAATATTAACTCTGAATACATATTGGAAAGTAGCTAACCAGACAAGTTCATGACATGAATTTTTGGTTCAATGCCTCCAATAGACTTTTATCTTCCTTTTAATACTAATATGAACGTATGCGTATAATAAATCATCACAATATCAACGGAGAATTACGTAAGGCTACGGCACAAGTACTTCTCCCTGTTTCGATGCAGTATTATCATTTCATAGTAGCCAAGGAAAGCAGGGAAGGATGGCTCATATTTTGACTATCATTAAGATTACTATGCTACTATGATGATAACATTAGAGGCAAAGGTCGCGTACTTACTTTGTACAATAAAATGTTTACCGCAGGAATCTAATGTTAACCATAGGTTTCTCAATAAGCTACATGTAACACATCTAACCCATGACGATGGAGACATCATATGATTTAGTAGTAAGTTAATTTTTAATTCAGCGTCCGAAGTCTTCGTACTTTGTAAACATGGCAAATTAGAGCAGTACGTCAGCATTTGCATTTCATCGGTACAGGATAAATGTAATCTGTTCGGACCATCTTGTATATTTAAATTATTTTGTAAAGTTTCCAGCCTACTCATGAACGTAGTAATGGATATATCTTCAGTTTCCCATTGATGGCATTGGATTGCCAATATGTGCAACGGTGAATTTTCGGTTATTATATTTAAATCAGAGTAGGCCGCCATTTTAGTTGGCATCGTTTGTTTAGTGATTGCATCTACAAGTGTGGCGGTTAATCTACTATGTTCTTCAAGGTGTTTTACTTTGTACACTATGCTAGCGAAATTGGCATATACATTATACAGTACATTGCATACTCGAATTGGATAATGGCGCACCATGTCGTTGAGTCACGGGGTTTGGAAGGAATAAATTAATAAATTAATTATTGTGTGACTGAACATGTCTATGTCTAATTGTCTATATATGTGATTTACAACAACATCACAGTGGCATTACGACATCACTAGAGCTTTTTTTTTTGGAATGTCTCAGTATCAATGCGATGGATAATCTACTCTGCTATTTTATATTATTTAGTCATATACTGTACCTACTGTAGTAAAATCAAGTATCGCAAATCATTCCTAATCAGATTCAATACCGTCATTGGATGCTTTAATCAAAACCATGCCTTAAAATGTAGCTGGTATGAGCAGGCAAACGTAGGGAAGTTACTAGTAGCATGAAACCATGGACTACTAGATATATCGATGCATGTCGTCATGGCCTAACTAAACGTTCAACATTTTGTAGTCCATGCATGAAATAGGTAATTTTCCGTTAAGACAAATATATCATTATCCAATCTTGTAAAGAAGCATATAAGAGTATAGTATGATAATTTAATATGAATTTTCTTTTAATGGATTATTTTGTGTAGAATGCGTTCCAGCTCATTGAAGTGGAAATTCACTAGTATAACTAATTGCACAAATAGTAAATTATATTATTCACAGATGTAGCGAACGTCTAATTTTTTGGTGTAACAATGCATCGATTTATCGATTTAAGAAGTGATTTTCAAAAATTATTTGTTTGGAAATAGCGACCATGTCATGTTTTGCATGGCTGCATGCTCCAAATTCATAATTATTTAATTTGACTAATCTGGTTGGATCCATCTGGTATACCTTCAATAATTAATTATATGCAACAATCTATACCAGTACTGTATTGAAGTTTTCCAGGGAAGATTATTGCACTGCAACGTTTCGTGAAAAATGAGTCAAATTTTAAGGACCAATCGTAAAGTGGAACATGGCAACTATAAATTTAATCTTGAGATCGGCTCTAATAATTAGTTGTGTGCAATAAAGACATTGTATACAGTGATATTCCGAGATGGGAGTACAATCCTGTCTTATCCATAGTTGACAGAAGAGTCCCTGAGAACAGGCCCACTTTTTGAAGTTCCTCAGCCAAAATCTCAATTGGATGAGTAATGGAGTATGCCAGTCGACGTCTTATTAGTCAGCAGTCCTGTACTGGACCATAAGTGTACCTGTTGGACATCACGCCATCCTCTAATGTCCTCAATGGCCCCCAATCACCCAATGTCCCTTGAGGGTCGGAGACTATAGTACAGTAAGTGTTTAACTTAATGGAAAATAATTCATTCATGAATGGACATCAGCTGATCAAAAGGAAATGCACGCAGATGAGCTTATAGAATGGACAGGACAGTATGCAGTCATTCAACAGGTTCAATTTCTGCAGTTCGCTGTGATCGGTAAAGAAGATTGCGATCTTTTTAGACGATCACTGTTTGCTTTGAATAATATTGATTTAGCACCTGCAATCATTCACTATCACAGCACAAGGAGATTTTGTTGCGGGTTATGGTCATGGTCATCGGTCAAAGCTAGTGATTAACTTCTAGTACAGTATAATGCCGTTGGTGTGATCATACAGTACTTTGGACTGTAAGTACAGCGGTGCATGGAGCAGAACCATTGCATAGTAATGCAGTAAAAAAATGTGCAGTAGTCTATGTCTAGCGTAGTACAGTACTTTACACTGTACTGTACAGTACTTTGTACAACCGGTGGTGTGACATTGCATGCACGTGACATGATTATACACAATAATGGCAGGTGATTCGTGGGTACTGTACACCGTACAGTATAGTATTGCAGTAAAAAAGTAAGCTACAGTCCATGTCTAGAGTACAGTAGCACTTTACACTGTGCAGGACTTACTGTATACTGTACAACCGGTGGTGTGACATTGCATGGCATGTGACATGATTATACACAATAATGACAGATGATTCGTGGGTAATGAACACTTTACGTGCAGTACAGTATAGTACAGTACAGTACATTGTACCGCTGGACACTTGCATACTGTACTGTACATACAGAGTCTGATTATTTTCCATGGCACCCCTTCGTTCAAAAGTCAAAGTTGTATTCCGTTGAAATTCCTGTATGATATTTATACGGTATACTGTACAGTATATATCATATACTTGTAGAAGGATATCGCCTCAGATCTATAGAATTGATCTAGTACGGGACTGATTGAACTTGCACAATTCTGTCTTTTCAGGGTGCCATCGAAATTAATCAGACTAGACAGTACAATATGAAAGACAAGGAGGCGCGAAGTTGTTTGCATGCTCAACCACGTGATATAACGTTAAGATCAATTAAGCGCTATGCCATTGGCTAAGCTTATCGCTCTATTTGTTCGTTTCAAGTATGACGAGAGGCAGACAATTAAAGCCAGTTAATGAATGGGAGGATTTTTCACTTAATGTAATTGTATTTTAGCAAGTGTAGTGTAATCAACTTCAAGAAAAAAAAATCAGGTGATGTCAAGAATTAGTTGGTTGAACAAGGACTGCGATAGTCAGGCGAGCTCGTGGCTATGCAGTTTCATCGCAGTATAAGTGAAAATTGCATTATTTGCTACTTCAAGAACGGACGTATCAGGTTATAAAGTAGATCAGTGGTTGCTATTCGCCTATCAGTTCTTTCTGCTCTCTACGTGCTCTGGTAGGCATTGAATTGAATTGAATCGCAACGTAACGGATAATTATAATCAATAATTACCAAAAGTTTTTCACAGCAGTGTGTATTCAAACTACAAAAGCTATAAAATTACGGTGCGATCATTTGCTGTATCCATTTTGATTGAATAACCAAGGCCTTTAGCTATCGCGGAAGATCAAGGTATGAATGAACATAAAGCATGTGCAACATGTACTGTATATTTCGTAGGTTAATTTCGTACAAAGATTTACTTTTAGACGATGTAGCGCATACAGTATGTAATGGAAGAATTGAAAGTGGATTTGCAATGGACTACAGTGCACGTAGGCTTGATAGAATTGGAAAATTTCCAGTATTCATTGCTAATAGAATGAGAAAGAATTCCTATTCGCTTAATCGATAATCATAGCAAGGATAGTACTGTATAAACTAGTTGGGAGCATGCATGGATTTCATATCTACTGTAGTGTGAAGATTGCCACAATATTGAATATGCAGTGACAAGTGTTGAAGGCAAAATCATGCCCATCTAGCCTCTTGACTTTGCCCATAGGAATAGTTTTGATGAATGATTGCTTTGCTAACTGAGAGTTAGAAATGCTTGCCAAAATCGCTGGAAATACGTCAATGCAAATTAGCTTGTAATTATAACTAACTAATGTAAACGCACGCACATTGCCAGTGAATTTATTTGTGGCAGGGATATCGAAAAGGAAAACTACGCGTTCACCAAGTTAAAATACTTTAAGACTTCCTACAATTTTGTATGTTATTGATACTAAACATTAGCTCGATAAAGCAGCATGTTATAAAATGCTCGGCAGTAAAGTATTACCAAACAGCCCGTTTTAATTGACTGTGAGAACTTGAAAAAAAAAATTGGGATTCCGTTGGGGTGTTACGTCATTAGCACTCATTCATCAAGTCATGCGTTCTCAATCTGCAGTGACTGTATGACATTGTTGCGATTCGTTACGATAGTTACGGCTTGGAAATTAAGAAACCATACAGTCGGTGTGCATAAGCAATTTTTCTTTATTTGAATTGATATTCTCTTTATCATAATGTCTCCTTGGAATTGATCGAGGTTTCTAGAGTGAACAACAACTCCGATGCACTGGAACAGAACAGAAATTACTACCGATTAATAAGAGAAAATGGAATTTGGATCTTACTTTCAGTTTTTACCTTCATTCAGTACCTAGAATCGCATTATGCATACTGTACTGTATACAGTACAGTACTGTCGTGTACAGTGTACAGTACTATACACTCCTTACAGTACATACGATACTGTAAGTCTGGAGCATGACAGAAGCGCTCTACCGTACTGTACTGTACTGGATGTCAGTACGATAGGTAACATGCAAAGTGTTTACAATTCCTAGAGTAAATTTACTCAACGTCCTACAACTTCAAATGCTCCAAAGCAAATAATTACATTTGTTGTTTTTTTGGTGTGTTGTTTATGAAAGACGTTTACATATGCATGAAACAGATGTACCAGTAACGTAAATGAATATACATTGCATGTTGAGTTGCTGGTTACAGCTGGAGAATGGACAGAGTATAAGTTGATCATAGAGGTAAAAGAAAACAGCAATTTTCTTTTACCTTTATGGCCTTGAACCACAGTAGTAAGAAAACGTGCTGGACTGTGTTCTAATGAATGATACTACGGGATTATGCTGTGATACATGGTCATTTTATAGTAATACCCTTCACAAACATGATTTTACCGATTTTCTTGCAGATGGATCCTAATCAAGATGACATTGTTATTGCTGGCATTTCTTGCCGACTACCGGAATCAAATAACGTCTCAGAGTTCTGGCAACACTTAATCGAAGGTGAAGATATGATCACCGAAGATGATCGTCGCTGGACGCCCGGAATGTTTGGCTTACCCAAACGCCACGGCAAATTGAAAGATATTGAAAACTTTGATGCAATTTTTTTTGGCGTTCATGCTAAGCAAGCAGATACAATGGATCCTCAACTACGATTGTTGTTAGAAGTAACTTATGAGGCTATTGTTGATGCTGGTATGAATCCAAATCAAATAAGGGGCAGGAAAATGGGAGTATTCGTTGGAGAAAGTTTGACTGAAGCTATACAGGCCTATCAATCTGATGCTGAATCTCAGATCGGTTATAGCATGACTGGTTGCTGTTGCTGTATGTTAGCAAATCGTTTATCGTATTTCTTCGATCTTAGTGGTAAGTTCGTTGATTTGATAGACTTTACTATGCTTATCTTTTATACACTTTAGAATTAATCGCTGGTGCAGCATCGTTAATAAAGTAGATTTTGCATTCAGAATGGTTATATTACAGTACTTGCATCCAGAAATCAAATATAGCTTATCAATATACGTATATATGCACTGTGAATGTATCACCTTAAGCTTGTTATAGAGAGAATTGTTGGCCCTTAAATACTAAACTGTGTGGTACTATTGTAGAATGAAGGCTGTTATTATATAATGAAAGTGCGTAGAAATATCTGAAGATAGGATCAATTTATAAATTTTATTACTATAGGACCAAGTCTGTCCATCGATACTGCATGCTCTTCAGCTCTAATCGCTTTTGATCAAGCTGTTAGAGCAATTAAAATGGGAACTTGTGATGGCGCAATTGTTGGCGGTGTAGCTCTAGATCTTAAGCCAAATACAAGTTTAGAATTCTTAAAACTTGGAATGCTATCACCCGATGGCGCATGTAAATCATTTGATGTTAGTGGTAATGGGTATTGCCGCGCTGAAGGTAAGTGGTGAAATAACTTGCGACCTTTCAAATTATCATGTCCTAATATAAAAAAAAAACGTTAACAATTACACGCTAACCATGTTATGAGATTTCTAAATGTTAATTATTTAAATATTTTAGGCATCGTTTCTGTACTCTTGCTTAAGAAATCTGAAGCCAAACGTATTTATGCTTCCGTTGTTCATACTAAAGCTAACTGTGACGGATATAAAGAGCAGGGTGTTACATTTCCTAGTGGTGGAATTCAACATCGTCTATTAAAGGAAGTTTACTCTGAATGTGGTGTCAACCCTGGCGATGTGAATTACATTGAAGCTCACGGAACAGGTACTAAAGCTGGAGACCCACAGGAAGTCAATTCAATCGCTAAAATGTTCGCAGGAGAGGTCCGTAATAATAAGCCTTTGCTGATTGGATCAGTAAAATCAAATATGGGACATTGCGAGCCATCATCTGGATTAGCATCGATTACAAAATTGGTGATGAGCTCACAACATGGCATATTACCAGCTAATTTACATTTTAAAAATCCAAATCCTGATATACCAGGACTACTAGACGGACGCCTTCATGTCATAACCGAGCCTACACAATTTCCTGGTAAATTGATTTTGCTTATATTTTATGAATTAATATACTATAATCAGCAATGTATGTTATCAATTAATACACACTATTTCAAAAATTTATATGGCTACATTGAAACGCAAATATCTTAATGTTGAAATGATTTCGTTTATAGATGGTTACGTAGGTGTCAATTCGTTTGGATTTGGAGGTGCAAATGTTCACGCCGTACTAAAACCTAATATTTACCATGAAAGTGAGAGTAAAGTTACAAAGAGTAAAGAATTATCTATAGCTTTGTGTTCTGGTCGTACAAAAGAAGGTGTAGAGAAACTAATGGAACTTGTTAAAGAGCACCATGATCATGCGGATTTAATCAACCTCATTAATGGCATGTCTGATACACCTACATCAAGCAACTATCATCCACAGCGCGGTTTTACAATATTAAATTCAGATAATGCTACTGAGGAGATTAATGCAGTACCAACGAGTAAACGTCCATTGTGGTGGGCATTTTCAGGAATGGGAGTGCATTGGAATCAGATGGGCCAAGATATGATGAAATTCAAGGTATTTCGAAAGAGTATTGAAAGGGCTCGTCAAGCATTATTGCCAACAGGACTAGATGTACTAGATATGCTACTCAATAGCAATGAAAAGACATATGAAAACGTGAGAAATTCGTTTACTGGTTTAGTAGTAATACAAGTAGCACTAGTGGATACTTTGAAAGCTTGTGGGATTGAACCAGACGGTATGTACTAAACATTCTATTACTTTGCAAGATGTAATATAGACATATTCTAAAAATTTAGAAATTTATGAAATTAGGTCTTTTATATTTCTAGATTTACTATTAAACGTAAAATACCATTATTTTTTATTAATTATATTTTCGGTTGTGATGGTACAGACAGTACACTAACTTTGATTTATATAATTAAAGGTCTGTTTGGTCATAGTGCAGGTGAAGTAGCTTGTGGTTACGCTGATGGTGCTCTTACGCTAGAAGAAGCTGTACAGGTCGGATACTGGAGAGGGCAAGCTATTTTAGATGCTGAATTAGATAGAGGTGCAATGGCTGCTGTTGGGCTAACATGGGAAGAAGCGAAAATGCGTTGCCCAGAAGGTGTTGTAGCGGCTTGTCATAATGCAGAGAAAACAGTTACTATTTCCGGCGATCCAGATAAGGTGGAAGAAGTTGTTAAGCAATTAAAGTCTGAAGGTATCTAAAAAATTTTTGGTACTTAGCTTTAGTAATATGAGAATGAGATACTTTAGATTATTACTACCATTACTTGTTTGTGCTAATAATTAATGCAGCAAAGCAGTGTTTAAGTGCGCTGCAAATATGAAATATTGGTATTTTCTTGTATGTAGTCGGTTAGATAACAAGGTACATTTATGGTCATTATAGAAATATTTGCTAAAAAAGTCGAAACATCCGGCGTTGCGTTTCACTCGCATTATATCAAGAAAGCTGCACCCCTGCTCAAGGCTGCAGTTGAGAAAATTGTTGCACAACCGAGAAAACGTTCATCACGCTGGATTAGCTCTTCAGTACCAGAATCTCGGTTACATGAAGAATTCTCTAAATTTGCTGGAGCAGAATACTACGCTAATAACTTAATAAGTCCGGTGCTATTCTACAATGCCATGAAGAAAGTACCAGAAAACGCTATCGTAATTGAAATTAGTCCACATCATTTGCTCCAAGCTGTGCTAAAGCGTACAATGAGTCCAACGTGTACGATAATGAAAACTATGCGCAAAGATAATGCTCATAATCGGGAACTTTATTTAACCACACTTGGTCAGCTGTATATGAATGGAATAAATGTAGATCCTTCACCTTTGCTACCAGAGACCTCACTACCGGTAAGGTGTTGTAATAAAATATGCAGATTTTTTGGAGTTGATTTAGTATATTCCAACGTAATTCTGAATCTGAGTGAATATATAGAATAGTATTGATAAGTATAAAAGTGACTATAAATAAATATGTATATAAATATATATTAAAGTTTTAGTGTTACACGCTTAATTGAAAGACTATAATTGACTTACCACTAAACTTTAATGGAAATTGTGTTACAGGTTCCACCTGGTACACCATGCATTTCACCATCAGTAGCTTGGGATCATTCACAAGTATGGACCATACCAACATTAGACATGTTTATGAAGAACGGCAGTAAAGATGGTGGTGCTGCAATCACCTTTAATATTGACGTCTCCCCTAATTCACCTGATCATTACGTTCTTGGACATGCTATCGATGGACGTGTACTATATCCGGCTACGGGCTATCTCGTGCTTGCATGGAAAGCATTAGCTCGCCTTAAAGGTACAATATATAACCAGACCCCAGTTGTTTTTGAAGATGTTAAGATTCATCAAGCGACTATTTTACCTACGACTGGGAATATTCAATTGCAAGTCGATATCATGCCTACCACTGGTAAATTTGAGGTGTCATCTGGTAGTAGTTTAGCTGTTTCTGGCAAGATTAGCATTGGTGATGACAATATGGTAATTAATGAATTACCGAAGTTTGGTACGGAAGATTGTGCACCATTATCGAAAAATGATGTTTATAAAGAGCTACGATTGCGTGGGTACGATTATGGTCCGTCGTTTCAAGGCATCGAAACTGCAGCACAAGACGGGTTGGCGGGTAAACTATTATGGAATGGTAATTGGGTATCGTTTATCGATACTATGTTACAAATGTCTGTATTAGGTTTGTCTGGTCGTGGTCTGAGGTTACCAACACGTATTCGCTATATTCGTATTGATCCTCGTAAACAACCATATAAAGAAGATGATAATGAAGGTGAAAGTGATGACTATGATGAAGTGAAAACTGAGAAAGCAGAAAAATTCGAAGAGTTTTTAGATATTAGTATGAATCCTTTCACGGACATGTGTGTTGCTGGTGGAGTAGAGTTACATGGCTTGCATGCTACCGTTGCGCCCCGTAAGCAGGATAAACAAAATGCACCGAATTTAGAGGAATTTTGTTTTATACCTTATTTCGAAAGAAATATTTTAGGTAAAGACAAGAATTTATTACAATACAAGGATGACATAGAAAAATATGCTGCATTGAAATATGATGAGTTCAAAAAGAAGTTTAACGGTCAGGTAGTACCTAACGCGATTAAGAATATAACTGCATTACAAGAAGCTGTAGGTGTATGGGAAAACCTTAATGATAAGATTAATGCATATCAGAATAGAGAAAACTGTGGCATATTCACACTTCTGAATAAAATATGCGAATTGATACCTGATAACACATTCAGTAAATCAGTAGAGGAAACATTGTGGGAAAATCGAAAATTATTCGTCGATGACATTCTTGGTGGCGCATTGTTAGATGACAGATATTTGAAAACATCGATGGATATAGTTTACGAAAATATAATTAATTTGCCATTGAAAGTTGCAGAAATGGGTGCCACTTATGGTCAGATGTTCAATCGTGTATTACCAGCAATTCTTTCGCAACCAGATTCTACTGTCAGCTATACAGCTATAGTGGGCAATAAAGATGATGAATCCCGACTTAGTCCTGAGATAGAAAAATTTAATGACATTTCCATCGTCAACTTAAATGGTAAATCATCGATTGACGGAAATTTGAAGAGATCATCAGATCTGGTTGTGAGTAGTTATGCTACCTTACATGAAAATTTAAGAGGAGAAGATGAAGTATCGATGGCAGCTAAATTGCTAAAAGAAGGCGGATTTTTTTTGTTGCATGAGTGCACTCGTAACTTTACGACAGCGTTATCTATATTTGGAGTAAATGATAAAGCATGGCATAATAAGAATGAATCAAATCATAATCTGTTATCCGAAGATGAATGGATTAAAATTTTAGAAGATGAAGGATTTAGTATTATAAGTACTAAGAGTGACGGTCTACTATCAACGTTATTCTTGTGTAGACTTAACGATCCTGGAAATGTTGTGGATTCACCGATCATATTAAACGTTAATAATCAAAACTTCGATTGGTTAGACGAATTGAAAAGATTTATGTTAAGTAATAAATCTAATCAAAAAATTTGGTTATTGAGCGATTGCAATAGTACTTCAGGCATTGTTGGCATGACAAATTGTTTACGCAAGGAACCTGGTGGTGAAAATATACGTTGTGTATTTAATGCACGACTGAATGGCTCAAGTCCTGCTGTCAAATTTTCGCAAGAAATGAAGCTTATACAACAACATGATCTGGTTATGAATATTTATCGTGATGGAAAATGGGGATCATTCCGTCATTTATCCGTTAGTAAAGATGAATCTTCGGCAATAAATAATGATCAAGCATACGTTAATGTTCTGACTCGTGGAGATCTGTCATCATTACGATGGTTCGTATCACCGTTAAAATATGCTCAACCAAGAACTGATGAAGCTTTATATTATGTTTATTACGCATCGTTAAACTTTCGCGATATAATGCTAGCTACAGGTAAATTACCACCAGATGCATTGCCTGGCGATTTAGCTACACAGGATTGTATATTGGGTATGGAATTTGCAGGTAAAGACGAAAACGGTAAACGCGTAATGGGATTACTACCCGCTAAAGGTTTAGCAACTACTGTTCTAACAAATAAAAATTTCACATGGGCAGTTCCAGATTCATGGAGCTTACGAGAGGCAGCTACGGTACCAGTAGTATATGCAACAGCGTATTATTCGTTAATAACAAGAGGTCAACTAAAGGATGGTGAATCTGTATTAATTCATTCAGGTACTGGTGGTGTAGGTCAAGCTGCGATTGCTATTGCATTATCGAAAGGTTGTACTGTTTTCACTACAGTAGGTACACAAGAAAAGCGGGAATACTTATTGGAGAGATTTTCCCAACTGTCTAAAGAAAATATAGGTAATTCACGTGATTTATCATTTGAGAAGATGGTAATGGAAGGTACCCAAGGACGTGGTGTAGATGTAGTATTGAATTCATTAGCTGAGGAGAAATTGCAAGCTAGTTTAAGAGTAGTTGCTCGTCATGGTCGATTTTTAGAAATAGGAAAGTATGATCTGTCCAATAATACACCTTTAGGAATGGCTTTATTCTTACGTAACATATCATTTCATGGAATTTTGTTGGATGCTCTATTTGATGAGGGTAACACTGAGTGGCCGAATGTATCCAAACTTTTATCAGATGGTATAGAATGCGGCGTAGTGAAACCTTTAAAGACTACAGTTTTTGATCGCGAAGATTTAGAAGGTGCATTCCGATTCATGGCTCAAGGTAAACACATTGGTAAAGTCCTAATACAAGTACGGAATGATGATGATTCAATAAGTAAGGCTATAAATTTGAAGAGTTTGGCTCGATGTCATTGTGATCCCGTTAAAAGTTATATTGTCACTGGTGGATTGGGCGGATTTGGTCTGGAATTGGCACAATGGTTGGTAGATCGTGGAGCACGTAAAATTATATTGACTAGTAGATCCGGTATTCGAAATGGTTATCAAGCTCGTAAAGTAAAAAACTGGAAGCAGAAAGGTATTCAAGTATCTATATCTAAATGTAACGTGGCATCGATGGAAAGTACAGGAGAATTAATCAAAGAAGCAGAGAGCTTAGGCGAAGTAGGCGGTGTATTTCATTTAGCGGCGGTATTACGAGATGGATTTTTGGAAAACCAAACCAAGGAATTATTCGACGAAGTGTCTAAGCCTAAAGTAGACGGTACTATCCATTTAGATAGGGTAACGCGTATGAGATGTAGTGGTTTAGAGTGGTTTGTTATTTTCTCATCGGTGAGCTGTGGCCGCGGTAATGCTGGTCAAGCGAACTATGGCTATGCCAATTCTGCTATGGAGCGTATTTGTGAAAGACGACATCATGAGAATTTACCAGCATTGGCTATTCAATGGGGAGCAATCGGTGACGTTGGTATGGTTATTGAAAGCATGAAAGGTAGCAATACTACTGTAGTGGGTGGTACATTGCCACAACGTATACATTCGTGCTTAGATGTGATGGAGAAATTTTTAATCAGTAACTATCCAGTAGTATCCAGTTTTGTTCAAGCAAGCCGTGAGAAAGCATCAGGTTCAAGTGACCAATTATCATCGGAAGACTTAGTTAAGAGTGTTGCGAATATTTTGGGTATTAAAGATCCATCAACAGTAAATCAAGACTCTACACTTTCTGATTTGGGATTAGATTCATTGATGGGCGTAGAGATTAGGCAAATTTTAGAAAGAGATTTCAATGCAACATTACCCATACAAGAAGTTAGACAGTTGTCTATGAATAAATTGAGAGAGATTACTTCAGCACTACAAAATTCGAATAATATAGACAATGATAATGGTTCAGAAGAGTTAAATGCTGTACCTGGAATGCGAGTTAGCGAATTACTTACCAAGGAACAAATTGAATTGGGTACAGTAGTTCGATTAAATGAGGTGAATTCAGATGAAGCACCTATCTACTTTTTCCATCCGATAGAAGGATCGATAGAGCGATTTAAGGAAGTAGCAAGTAAATTAAAGATTCCAGTTTACGGTATTCAATTAACACCAGAAGCACCAACAGAAACTGTGGAAGAGTTGGCTTCATTCTATTGGAATAAAATGAAAGAAATTCAAAGTGAAGGACCGTATCGTATCTGTGGCTATTCGTTTGGCTGTACTATCGCACATGAGGTTGCAATTCAGCTACAACGAGAAAACAAAGATAATCTCCATCGAATGTATATGATTGACGGTTCATACTGTTATACTAGAGAACGATTACAAATTTACAAAGCGCGGTATCCAAAAGAAGTTATTGATGATGATACTTATTATTCGGAGTCTTTATATTATTATCTGAAGTCTTATATTTCTGACATCTATCACGATCAGTTAATCAGTCAGCTGATGAGTGTTGCATCGATGGATGAGAAAGTTAATTATGTTACATCACTAATTATGGCAAAACGCCCTGATATTGATCCAGAATTTTTAGCTTGGAATGCTAAATCATTTATTGCATTAACGCGGGCTGGTGGTGATTATCAACCGTCAGCTAAATTTGATGGTGATATCTTTATGATGACAGCATCAGATAGAGATGGAATAGGACAGAACCAAGATAGGGATTATGGACAACAAGCACAATGTAAAGGAAAGATTGAAATCGTTGTCAGTCAAGGCGATCACATTAGCATCTTACAAGATGAAAGTGCTATATTCATTGCTGATTATATAACTTCATACCTTGTCTAATTGAAATACAATTAAGATCCATTTTATTGATATTCAGTATAACTATGAAAGCGTTATTGACATTTTTTACGCATATGCTGTGCTGGTTATGCAGCTAAATGGGACCATTAGATCCACTTCAAGATTAGATTATATCCTAGCCCGTAGCTGTGGCCTTATCATGAGGTCTTATCAAGGGAACAATACTTGTTTTAAATTATTATTTTATTTCATTAAGGTGTTGCAGGTTGACATAATAGTAATTTAAATTCGGCAATAAACGCCTTAACTGCATACGAAATTTATTGTTGCGTTGTACGCGGCAAGGTATGTTACAGTAACATTTTGTTTCATCATTTATGAATGGACACATTAGGAAGCAGTAAGCTATGAAACTAGATACGCGTAATTAGGTAATCTTGTCGATGTCAATTTGGAATATTTTAACATTTATGAATAGTTTTGATAGTGGCCAAATATAATACGATGTGTTAAAAGGTGTCTTTAGATGTACGTTGTTGTTTTACGAATTTTGTTGATGTTGCTAAATTGATTTAATAAAAAATGATGAATTAAAACGAAAGCTGTTCATGAAGGTATTTGTGAGTTGCATGATTGCACGGGATCAACTAACTAAATTCAACGACTATATAACATCTAAACAATGCTGTTTCAGACGTCTTTTCTATCATCACTTGAGATTGTGCTATTTTGTAGTTTTTATGTGGATCATTTTCCTATTTTGCGATCAGAATATGCTTTAAATGTACTCATACAGTACAGTTCGGTACCAACTCTTGGTTATTTACTGAAATTGGTCGTGCTCAGAGCTCTGTTACTCTACAGAATAATCATGATCACTATCAACGGATCAAGCACTCACAAGACACCGCACTAGTATAGCATTTATATGGGTAGATTATCGAGTGCTAGATACTCGAAGATGGCAGACAGTATAATATGGTAATTACTATATACTATTGACTCATGGCTACCTCACGTGACGCTTTCTTTTGCATGCATTTTACTTCGATGTTCAAGTTAAGTCGTAAGCCTAACTACTGTACAAGAACTCAATATGATCCCTCGTTAACCTTAACCCTATTTAACTCGAGACTATACTGAATATCGCTGGTTAGAGTAGATTTTTGGTAGGCCTATATCAGTAGTGAATCAGTCGGTATCCTGCGGTACTGCATATCTATGTATATTGTACAGTAAAAGCAAAATAATATTATTTTAAAAATAGCAGTGATAAGCGCATTCGTTTCCTATAAAGTTGTTCGGAAATTTCAGTTGTGTAGTGACTTTTAGAATATTGTAAAGTGTTTATATTAGTCTAAGAATGATCGAGAACGCTTATGAGTTTCTGTCGTAATTCAATATAGAGAAAGGTAAGCGAATAAGCTGTTCAATTTAGTTATATTTAGGCAACTGAAAGTGACATAACTTACATTGATCGGTATAACTAATGGTTCTGATTTTAATCATCTGATCTTAGTCTCGTATATGCTTGGTAGCGTTGTTCTTTCAGCGATCATACACATTATTGTGGTAGCAAGATAGATTAGCGATTATAGCTTATCATTAACTCAACTTGGTTGTTCTTTTGGAAGTAGGAACCGTCAATAAGTCATCATGGAGAGTAATCGATCGGATGATACTAGTCAAAGCATTCCGGAAGTCAAGATAACGTAAGTCAAAAACATTTGAATGTTGTATGAGAGATGTGGTAAAGATAACTACATCACTAGAATCACGTTGATAGTTAAATTTAAATCCTTTCCTACTGGAATCAAATAGAAATGACTGCCAAGAATGAGATCGAGTTGATAAATACTATAGCACAACCGTGACCAAGAAACCTCATCAATTGATCATGTTTATGATTACTCTATCACTAGAAGATCGTAGATATGGATGTAAAAGGCCCTACGATCGCATACATGATTTACAACTGTTAGATTGACGAATTTTACCGTACAGAAATAGCGATGAAAGATTCTATGCTTATTGATCGAAATATCTTACCGTAAATAACTGAATTGATCATTCAACTCTAATAATTATAATTTATGTTGATATACATCGATCTTTTTGGTTAACGTGCATACATACGAGTATAGATACGATTCATCTTTAAATATAGAAAATACGAGTACTATAATATCTAAAGACTCAGATAGACGTAATCATGCTGTATGATTGAAACAAAATTAACATCTATTTTCTGTATAGTGCTAGTAATAGCTGGTTGACTTCAATATGGCGAAATTTTTTGGACTTTTCAAACATGTTTAAAGCTTTTATTGGTACAAATTATATGGGATTACCTTTCGGTATCGCTCAAAGTGGACTTGGGGTAGGTGTATTCCATTGATCAAGATAGCGGATATAAAATGGTCAACTGTAGAACAATTCTGAGTGTAGATACACTGATTATTATATTTTATGGTATAGCAGTTAAGACTGTACTTGGCAAAAATGTTTGTTGTCGTTGTAATGCCTTGTACAATGTACATGGCACTAGCTAGAGGCTTATTTAGTTTAGTCTATAATCTAAGTTGATGAAAGATCGAACAGTTTTGGATGCACGCCAATGCCGTATATCTACCTACTAGCTATACGCGTATATATGAGTATTTATGTTGGATTGGCTATAAGAATAATAACATGTTATTTTTATCCGGCAGTCAGTAGATAAATACGTATACGGTATAACAGTTATCTAGAGCTGTTTGATCTTTTACCAATTTAGACTGTAGACTAATTTATAAGTTAAATTTTCCATTTTTCACAGATCGACAATGTTGCTATATTGGCCTAGTTGAGAGAGAGTCAGGTTCAGGCCATTATCAGATTGACTAGATAAAAGTAGCATGACTGATCGGTGAGGGATGGATAAATATACTTTAAAGTAATTCTATAATTTCAATCGACGAAAGGTCGGAGTGCTCTGACAATAATTGATTGTGATGGCTTTTAGTTTTGAAACAATTAATATTTGCAATTTTTATAAGCTTAAAACGTTATTTAATGTTGGATGAGTATTAGAAATAATTAACAATATTATTTTACACAACACTGATAAACAGTATACCACATATCTACTCTATACGGTAAGCTAGAGTCATTTATGCTAGTACAGTATCAGGTTAATGTTGAGGTACAGTAGTTATCCAATTGACTAAATAGAGTATCAGGGTGATTAGTGAATGGTATTAACTGCATTCGTTTAGAAGTGGCCAGTAATTACTTACGAGATACTGCTATCCACATCAATAATGCAATACTGATTAATATTTTTAATGATAATAAATTAATTACTCTTCTAGCCTGGATTAGCCATCATGATCATTGTAGCCGTCATCACAGATCACTGCTGCCACTTAATTGTTGATTGTAAGAAGATCGTTGTTGATCGATTGGTAACTCGTCGTATAATTAAAAGTAATAATGATACAAACTATCAAAATACCACCGAAATCGTCTCGGAGCAGTCTGTACGTGAAGAAGTTGAAACCAAGCTAACTTATGGTGATATTGGACTAGAAGCGATGGGTGTATGGGGTTTGAGATTGGTTAATATCGCCTTGTTAATATCGCAATTTGGGTTTTGCATTAATTACATTATATTTCTTGGTAATACTTTGGGGACGATATTTCCAATTGAAGCAAACTATACTAATACTTCGGTATATTACCTGCAGGTCAATAAAAACATCATTTTAAACTCTATCGGATATTACAATCGATTGAAAGTGTCTCAATACAGTATATATTTAAAGGTTATATTGACTGTAACAGCATCGCTAATTTATTTATTGGTAACTATTTACTTAATTTTGTAGATTGAAGATCGTAACACAAGTAATAAGAGTCTGTTAATACATAATTTGCCTTCTGGTCAATCAACGCAGCCGGCTTTTGTCTTTCTAGCTCTAATACCATTGCCTCTTCTAATTTTGACATCTTACTCACGAAATATTCGACAACTTGGATTTTCAAGCGTTGTCGCTAATTCATCTTTAATGGTTGGCTTCATAATGGTATTAGTCTTTATCCTTCGAGGTAAAACTATTATACAACAGCATTGGTGATGGATGCTGTCAATATTTACAAATCATCTTTTAAAATGCTTTCCTATCTAACGAATATTGCATTGTTGCTGGCTAGTTATTTCATGGATCTGTTACATTATTGTTGTTGAACAGATTTTAAGGTTCACTCTGGCATCAAATGGGTTAACTGGGCTACTTCATTTGTATTTTTTGGACAAATGACTGGAGCATATGAGGGAATTGGAACAGTAAGATGATGTTTGAATAAATATAACAATCATATTGAGCTATTAATGGTACAAAATATTTGGTTTTAAGTAATGTGGTAGTACTAATTGGCTCTTGGCTTTATTATTTAGATAATACCTATTGAATCTAGCATGAAAGGCAATAGGCATCGTTTCGGTTTAATGCTACATCTAGCAATAGGCTTTATGACTTTATGGTTTATTGCACTTGGTATTTTGGGCTACTTACGTTATGGAAATGACGTTAATCAAATTATTTTAGAAAGTTTACCTCGTAATAATGTCATCTATAAGATTGTAACTATTTTTTTATGCGTTGGAGTCGTTTTTACATTCCCGCTACAAGTGTTTGTACCAATTGAAATTCTGGAAGATCCTACTTGTAAATTTTTCAATAAGTTGTGGAGAAAATGTGTATATACCAGTAGCACTCATCACGATACAATTAGCGATCCTAGTCAACCACTTCTACGTGGTGATCTCGGTTCATCAAGCCCTACTGCTATCAATAATACAAGTTTATTATGCAGGAACGGAAATTCAGTAAAGGTGAATAATATTATGGTAGTTAAACATTATAAATTTTATTTCCGTATTAATCTTTCATTATATCCTCTTACTGGAAAACAGGTTACAACATGGCAAAGGAACATTTTTAGAACGATCATCGTTTTGATCATTTTCGCGATAGGAATTGTTTTTAAGAATGACTATGTTTACTTCTCAAGCCTTATTGGGGCCCTAAGTTCAACGGTAGTGGCCTATATTCTACCGTGTTTATTCCATCTTCGACTAAAGTCAGCAGATATATCGTTACCTGTAAAGATTAAAGATAGTCTTTTAATCATCTTTGGCATTGGTGCTGGAACCGTTTCGGTAGTTATCAGCATACTTAAAATTGTTAATCAAAATTAAAAGCAATTCCTTGTAAGGATGCTACTATTAGGATAATGACATTCCTATGATCTAATCATAATCACTAGTTCTATTTTCAATACTTTTAATTCACATTGCTTTCAACTTCCATGTATAGTTGAGATGGTCTAAATTTAGTGGCTCGATTACTGATTAATTAGTAAATACAAATTTGGTGACGAATCCTGTAATAACTTCCGGATGAGTGATTTAGGGAGTTACATTTTTATATTATTTCGTTAAATGTTACAAAACTGGCAATAATTTTTATATAATTGCTGTGATACTGATTATCCTAAAATTTATACTCTACGCATCAGGATTTTACTCAGTTTTTATCATCTAATTTCAAATACTGGTAAAGGCGATACAACTGACACTTTACTCGGTGCAACTCGTGATTTCCTACAATATTGTGAATACAATGTTATTTGTACATTTAAAAAAGCTGAAAACTTGTGTATGCGTCATTGGTATTCATATACTTGTATTTGGCCGTTAAATTACTCAAATGATTTATTTTATATATTTGTCAACAATAAATTGTTGCCGTACGGTTAACTATTAACGTAATGCCTAGTTCGATATCATAAATGCTATCTGAGTGAGACTACTATATCCGTCGCGTCCTTTCTTGATTATTGTCAATAGTTTGGCATGCTTGATACCGTACGAGCAGCAAGATAAACATACACAGGTGAAATCAATTGAAAACCAGTCAATTTTACTTTCGTTTGCTATTTTGTTTATTAAGTAATCAAATTAATGTTAGGCATCGAATATCATGTTTACATGTGGTACCAAATATATAAGTAAATTGTTAGGCATCTGGGTCAAACTTTAAGACAGTTCATTAAAGTGGTATGGATAAAATATTTAAAAAAAAAAGTCGTCACACGAATATTATTATACGAGGAATTTTGAGTCGATATCTAAGTTACGCGTTGCTGAATTGATGAGACAACTAGAATGCAAGTTCGATTTTTTGTCTTCATGATTAAAACGCTAATTTGTACGATTAATTATTTACCAATAATATTATTCGATTCGCAACAGGCAGAACGAGACAGCACTGTTTACAAACTTTAAATACTAGATATATCTATTTTTGTCTAGCACGCCCTAATACAATTATCGATACACACTAATTATTGGTGATTTTTACGTTCTAATGATGATATATACGCGCACGATCATGGATTAGAGCCAATTTTTTTTAAGTGAAATTTGAATAGTTGGATATGTGTAAGTTAATTAGTATGCCATTCAAAATGTAAAACAAATAATTCGCTCAAAAGTGGCTATTGAAATAAAACGTTAACGTTCGCAGCATGCTGTAAATTTGATCTCAATCCTGCTTTCGTAACATGTTGAACAACAAATGTTACTTCATCATCATTAAATTCACGTAGTGAAAAGTTCTTAATCATATATACCCTAAGAAAAGATCTACCTACAAAGTTTATATTTTTTCCATCTTTCAAAAAAATATCAAAAAATTCCGGTTGCGCTGACTCCGTTGCATCATTATCGAGGATAAAGTCCCACATTAAAGTTACGTTTAGTAATATTTGATCTTCGTCAATATCCCAAGAAGTGTCTTTGTATGTAAGGTTAACGATACGGCCAATATCATCTGAGATCACTGAAGGATTAAGTAACTAAATAGATTACAAACGTAAAAAGAATTATTTTAACTGTAAATAGACATTCCTCTATGAATTATCGAACGATTGAATAATAAACCAGGTCACTGAATAGAATTCACACTAGATATAAACTTACTTTGATTTCACCTAAATCGAGGCAGAAATCTTTTTCCTTTCGCTCTGTATGATTGACTTTCATGATAAAAACATAAGAATTAGCCTTATCAAATATTAAAAAGATCATGGCCTACGTACAATTGCCTAATGAGGTTGACATACTATTTAATTCTGGTATAATCATCAGTTGTACTTCGCAAATTGTACAAGAACCACATAATGATTCCGTCAATAAGTAGTGCCTAAATAAAAATGGTGTTATTAAGAAATGGAAGAGGAAATTCTGCAAAGTTATGAGATTTGAAAGCATTCCTACTCATACTAGTCTAGATATAAATTAAACCTATTTATCCAAGTGGAACGTGGATCTGTCTCTCCAGTATATGTTGCATCAATGATATCAGTTGATTCATTATTAATAGTTGAAAATGCTAGATAATTTGAAGTGTCGCCCTTGACTTTAAAACCTGAAGGATTAAAACGAGGAGAACAAACCAAACCATAGTCCTCCATGCACGCTTCAATTTCTTTTGGCTCACAAACTAGAAAAATAATATATTAAAGGGTATCATTGATGAGAAGATAATAATAACTAAATAATACACCGTGAATAGCAATTTAGTATACCATTTTTAGCTTCTTTTCCTAAGATAATATAAGTCATTGCTGAATCAGTAACAAGTTGCAATGCAATATTGATCGAGCGCGAAAAATTTTGTGGAATTTTATAGCAACAGGAAATTAAGAGTCCGTCGTTTATTTCGAATTGAGTACGGAACAACCTAATTGGTATAGTGAAAGAGTTTATTGAGGCTTTATATTTTGAATAGAGGATGGAGTATTTTTAATTTCCTTAAGGCATACCGAAGTACTGCTGCAGAATACTCTAACGATGGTGTGTATGATCCATAAATTCGTAGACATTCACCTCCATTGTAAGCATCCAAAGACGAATGAGCAACTGTTGATATTTTAATACTTCCAGCTGTTCCTATGCAATACGAACGATGGGAATTGGAATAGGATGGCTGTAGCTGTTGTGCACTTAAGTTACTCCACGAAGAATTTTTAGCAATCTAATCAAGGAGTTAAAATTACGATTGAGAAATATCTACAAATGGAAAAATTACATGGAGCTACCTCAAATTAGAAGAATTTCCAATTTACCTTGCCATTAATGTACATTTTATCACCTCTACCACGGCAGAATGATGATACTATCGGCAATTCAGTTAGAATACTTGAATTATGACATAGTGAGCTAAGTAAATCCCAAAATCTGTTAAAAATCAAGAAATTACAGTCTTGGTATTAAAGCATGATTAGTAATACTTGGAACGTGGGTAGGGTTATTAGCAATACTTGTTTTGGTTTTCGATAAAATCTGTTCTTCCAAGACATTCATAAACCCAACCAGGTGCAAATAAAGCAGCAGATAAAGAACTCTCTCGAATAACTTCTAACGCCTAATGATTATAATGAAAATTGGATTATTATGTCATAAAGTTTTTTGATCGTATAAATTTATTTTTCAACGCTATAGAAAATTTAGTTGAACAAGTTCGGGTAGGATGATAAAAACTGAAAAAGTAAGAACGATGGAATAGGCGCATTATAACATCCATCTGTAATACTAACATCTCGACTTTTGAAACCACCGCCTTTATAACAACCTCTACCAAAAATATCTATGCCAGCGTAGACGTCATGTTTTCGCTCCTGCCCGGCATTCAATACCGACCTTAAGAGATTGCCAGGTTTCCAAACATAGTTTAAAAAAATTCCATCACAGGAATCGAAGAAAGTTCTGTGTTCAGTAAACCAAAAAAGTATATTGATCAGTGTCAAGTTAAAGCTTTACAGTTGATTAATATCGTCTATTGGATTTTAAGCCTTCAGAATAGCATTCATTCATTTCTAGTGTTCTCTATTTAAATTTGTTAACCGATGTCAATTATTCTACATCATTCAAAGATGATTTGTTAAAAATCAATATGACGGTAATCAGCATTGATTAATACCGTAAACTCTTCTAAAAACGATGATAGAATTGATAAAATAGTTCTCATAATACAGATATTAAGCACCTGTTATACATGTTGAGTTCATTTTGCCATTTTAGATCGCCAGTATTGGTTACGCTGTCGTACCAAAGTATTTGACCATGTGGTATTTTTTGATGGAGTTTGTTGGTTAATTCTGCTACAAATTGCACCAATGTCATAATATACTTTTTCTAATAATAAATGGAGAAATGGAGAAGAGAAATTAAAAAGATTTTCTTGTGTCAACATAATCGATCGTTATTTTGGTGGAGATTGTTGACCTACATCGATTACATCATGTTAATAGAAAGGGGTAGAAATGGCTGACTACTCAGTTAAGTAAAGTAGTATTATAAAAGTATTGCTTATATTGTTATGGATCGTCGTTGCAAACTAGAACTTGACGTTGCTATTTTGGTGATCAATGGTATAGTTTTATCGTAGAAATTAGGTGCTCATTTGAAATGCTTTACTGTACAGTATGTGGTCGTTTCAAATTTTAATCGTAAGACTCCTCACTGATATGATATGTCGAGTTAAAGTAAGATTGTATCACTTAGGTTCATTAAGTAAGTCCATCTTATAACCAACACTGTACTGTACGTTTACAATATAAGAATCTGTTCTATTGATTTATTATTAGTTTGACATGGATAGGGATTGATTTTATAACCATGCATAATCATAATACTGTATCTTTTACAAGCAATGATAATTAATACTAGTTTTACCATTAGTTAGTGGTATTCGCTTGTCCCTAGTGATTGCGTTATCATCAACAGTTCATTAAGTTAACGCTTCTACTGTAATTGATGGGTTGAAGGTATAGGTCAAAATGTAGAAAAACTGATATACTGTCCATACGTGGAACATAATTAAGAAAGATGAAATGGACAAGACATTGTCATAAGTGAATCGTTGCAAATTATTCCAATGTCATTTTGTCATTGCATTCATGCAATGAGAATTAAATTGGAAGACTGAAATTCATTTTCTACTCTAGTGATTTCTATTTCTATTTTTGTCGTCAACTATTACTTTATAACCATACCTCAATGTTATTCTCAATATTGATCAGCCATCCATCGAAACGATAATAATGTGCTATGTCAACTAATCTGTTAATTAAGAGATGTCGAAGTTGTGCATTACTTAAGAATTCACGACAAATTTCATTGCCTTCATCCCATTCAGTGATAAAAGTTCCTAAAACTAAGACTTGATGTTTATGAGCACAGTTGATCCATGTTGATGGTGGAATGGACAATAAATGATGGCTAAAGTAGATAAATATGTCAATATACTGCCAATGGTAGAAAGTGAAAGCATCGTTGTCACCACAACCTTGAGCAAATCTATGCAATGAAAAAAAGGCAAGAAAGTTGAATAGTTGCAGGTTGCTATTCTATCCTGTATCATCATGTCTATCCTATTGCAACGTGTAGCTAGGATTGACTACTAATGAATTGATTTGATTACCATTGGCAGTTTTCTATCCTGTATCATCATGTCTATCCTATTGCAACGTGTAGCTAGGATTGACTACTAATAAACTGATTTGATTATCATTGGCAGTTTTCTATCCTGTATCATCATGTCTATCCTATTGTAACTTGTAGCTAGGATTGACTACTAATGAATTGATTATCATTGGCAGTTTTTGAAGGCGATTGTCCATCGTCGACTGACTATTTCTATTGTACACCTTTGATCGCTATCATCATCACCTTCCATGTGGTTTTAATGGAGCAAGAAAAGATGATTGCACTACTTTGTTATATAACATGGCTGTCAATATGGATGTAATTGATTGAAATGAGCTAATCAACCTATCCTATTAGCTAAGCAGATGAAATCACTGCAATGGCTATAGACATGATGGACTCCCATGGACGCGATCATACTGCAAGTCCTCCTTCTCGACTGCCTGTCTACTCAAGAAGGATAGCCGACAAGGCCAATCTTACCTATCCTCGTGATAGCCATTCTTCATGTCATGGCAAACCAAAGTTCGAGATCGTTTAGGCAATGCATAGGGCTGATGTAAGCATACACTAGCGCGATTAATATCATCACATCCACGAAACCAAAGATAAATTTGCTTTAAATGATCTAAATAACTGCAGATCGGTTCACCACTTTGTTGATCATATTGTCGACATTGGCGTACATGAACACCATTAAAATGTTCAGCCATAACTGATAGTTGAATCAAGATGATTACCAATAGATTGGATAGACTTGAACGATGAATGAATAATCATCCAAGGCTGCAATCACGAGCAGATTTTCGTCTACAATCAAGGTTGAAAAATGGAATGAATTTGTGCAAAAGTGCGTCGAGGATCGATTGTTCTCATCGTCTTCTTGGCTATTGCAAGAGAGCGTCGATTGTCGAGGATTTTTGCCCCCTTACTCTCTGCCTTCCTTTCCTCCTATTGCTCTTGTCTTGATCTTATGAACAGTCTAGCAACCTTGGATGATTGCTTGCCAGTATGCCAACTGCAAACAAGTTGAACGATGGAGGCCAGCAATGGAGAGATTTCCTCGCCAATGCTTGGGGCTCGGGACAAAGAAATGCCGACAGTTGAATCGGTGCTGCAAAAGCCGATGACTTGCGCTCCAGTGAAGATTGAAAGAGTAACACTATGATGATAGTGTAGCCTAGAATGTTACGCCATGTTTGCGTTCCTTATCCATGTTATTGCACGCATGTATTGGACAGTATTCAACACAATGCGTCCGAGAAATCAACTCAACTGTCGCTGACTTCAATCGACCTATCGCACGCTACTACTCTCGACTCTACTGCCCTAAACAGTCCTCCCGTTGTAGTCTTTTAGTATAGATTTCAATGACTGGCGTCGACAATCGACTGGCTGCCTTCCATCGTCGTTGGACGGGACAGCCTTTGGACAAGAGGTGCCTTACTGTACGATGTACTGTCAACTACAGTACATATCATGTTATAGTACTGTAGAAGGAGGAACAATACTGTGTCTCGTAGGATGGAAGGATAGATGGAACATTAGTAGAACTGTAGAAGTACTGTACAGTACTGTACTGTACTGTCCATCGTCGTTGGATGGGACAGCCTTTGGACAAGAGATGCCTTACTGTACGATGTACAGTACTGTCAACTACAGTACATATCATGTTATAGTACTGTAGAAGGAGGAACTATACTGTGTCTCGTAGGATGGAAGGATAGATGGAACATTAGTAGAACTGTAGAAGTACTGTACAGTACTGTACTGTACTGTCCATCGTCGTTGGATGGGACAGCCTTTGGACAAGAGATGCCTTACTGTACGATGTACTGTCAACTACAGTACATATCATGTTATAGTACTGTAGAAGGAGGAACTATACTGTGTCTCGTAGGATGGAAGGATAGATGGAACATGGGACATGATGGTACCATTTAGACCCATTAGTACATGCAGTAGAAGTACAGTACTGTACTGTACTGTCCATCGTCGTTGGATGGGACAGCCTTTGGACGAGAGATGCCTTACTGTACGATGTACTATAAACTACAGTATATCATGTTGTAGTAAAGTACTGTAGATGGAGGAACAATACAGTACAATGTCTCGTAGGATGGAAGGATTGATGGACCATTGGACATGATGGTCCATGCTGTTAACTGCAGTAGAAGTCCATCGTCGTTGGATGAGACAGCCTTTGGACAAGAGGCGCCTTACTGTACGATGTACTGTAAACTACAGTACATATCATGTTGTAGTACTGTAGAAGGAGGAACTATACTGTGTCTCGTAGGATGGAAGGATTGATGGACCGTGGGACATGATGGTTCCATTAGTAAGTACAGTATACAGTATGCAGTAGAAGTACAGTACAGTACTGTACACTACGACGATGGACAGCCTTTGGACAAGAGATGCCTTACTGTACGACGTACTGTAAACTACAGTATATAATACTGTAACTGACCTTTCTTTAGTACTGTAGATGGAGGAACAATAACTGTGACTGGTAGGATCGAAGGATTGATGGACAACTGGACATGATGGTCCATACTGCAGAAGTAGTCAGTATGCCAACAGTAATATCCAACTCCTACAATACAAATGTGGATTTTGGGATCGTACAGTACAGTACTCTCGCCGCTCTAGTACTGTACACTGTACACTCTGTGTGCTCTGACTGTACTGTACTGTACTGTACTGTATGATGACTGTCATTGCCGGTATTATTCTTCGCCCAATGCCCGGCAGTCGGCAGCCAATGGTGAGTCTTACCTCTGCAAGATTACCAATATGACGGAGAAAAGCCCTTCCACTCTAATCAATTTCTTCATCTTTAATACTACATTGGGCCAAGAAGAAGGCACGGTAAGTTGTCCTTTGATGCTTGGTGATTATACTTGAAACGGTCAACTTCAATCTTCAATGTTGTCCACTACTGTTCTACCATTTCCCAACAGGCTAGTGCAAGCTGTGCTTGCACAGTTGAAGTGGGATACTAACTGTACAGTATAGTGTAAGCATACTTTTGCATACTACATGATGGCAAAAGAATGCACCAATGCAGTTGGTCATCGTCTATGGACTACCACTGTATTCTATCCTTTTAATTCAATGATTCAGGATGGATTGAACAACGCGTAGCATCAATGGATACTTTCATAGTGTCAACAGCACACAAATACTACAGTATAAAAGTCCATCAAAAGTACAGGCATCGGATAAGACTAGTTATTGATCCTGCATAGGTCGAGACAAAAAATTGTCACCAATGAGCTACCCTGCTGGGTAATATACAAAGCCAAACAGGGCTCATTCAATCTCTATCCTACAAGAAATTATCAATGAAGGCTATCGTTTATTACCTTGTTTCCTTTGCAGCCATCAATGATGATGTACAGTAGTACAAAGCGTCAAAGAGTGTCATTATACTGTACAACATGCATCGACAGTGTCGCTAATTGCATCGATCGCCATTTCCCAGTAGTAGTAGTGCAGCATCATTTATATGAATGCTCAGATCAATGGGATCCAATGGGTAATGGACACGTATGTCCAATCTCTGAATAGAGCTTATGGAATACCTACTAATGATGATATTTCAATTTCTGTTCAAATAGGAACACGAAAAGATTCTATTTTATTACCCAGATGCTGACAATATAGATAAGCAATCACGCAGTGTCGGGCTTTCGGAAGCGATCGTTCATTTTTGCGGGTAATGGAAGCGTGCATAAATGCTTATAATAATTGCTAATGCTTATTGAACAACAGGTAGACACTACCAGTAGATGATAAAAGAGATGTTTAATCTACCTACTACTGTAACCAGTTATGTACCTACAGTCTACAGCATGATTGATTGGATAACAGCAAGTCTCATTCATACTATCTTTGCAATCATATTGATCTAAAATGATATTATATATTGATAGTCTGCTATTTTCAAATGATCCTCTACACGTATTTACTCAATGTAGCTAATAATCACCTAGTATTACAATGGTATAACTAACTACTCAGTTCCGCGTCTTCTGATTCAAGAACTTTTGCTCCTGATCGACCGTGCGAAGTTGTCCAAACGTTAAAATCCCGACAAGTCTTTTATCAGCCTGAGGAAAATTTTTGGATGATAATGGCACGTGATTTGATATTTCAATGCAATCCGTAATGGATTGTACTTAAAGTGATGTTGTCTGCGTATTATAAATGATCAATTCCAATATATTACATGCCTACCATTGGCATCCGTACTAGAATTAATCGGAAAAAAATATTTGGCCTTTATAGACTGTATCCATCCCAGCTAGCGAAGTAACAAATAAAGATGGCAATAACATTGTCTATCATCAGGATGAAGTACAGGTAAATTAAAAATAATGACTGATAAGGCTAAAACATTTGATTGGCGTTAAGAGATATTGATAATTATTTCAAGTGCTACGAATATCTTCGCTACTTATTTGAATTTATTCTCCATAGGATCAGGCATTACAATCAATTTTGATGTTATCCTATAAAATATTTAGGGTGAGTGTAGCTAAAATGGTTTAAAGAATCGTCTCTCAGTTTTCATGGCTTTATTACTTCGGTAGCGGTAGCGATAGCCTTTACATCTTGTTAATAAAGCGAATTTTATCTGTAAACAGCTCTTTAATGGTCCCTTTTCCATGACATTTAATGAAAGTGTTGATTCTTGCCGTGAACTTTTAAAACACTTTTTTACACGTGTAAGTATGATACTAAATGGATAATTTGTAAATGGCAATCTCTCTTTGATCCTTTCGAAATCAATGCTACTAAATCGCTAATGCCATTCCAAGTACTTTATTTGTAAATTGCAGTAGATGCTAAAGTCAATTTCAAAAAATGACACTTTATTTCACCTGATCAATCAAGCGATACTAGAAATTAAATACAATTAAATCGGTTGCAAATCTACCGCGATTAGGATCTATATATAGAATGCTTCTATCTAAATACCATCCGTCATGAATGACTGACATGCTTGGACAATTTTCTTAGTCAAGAAATTAACACCCTATCGTAACAATTTCAATATTTAACGGTTGTTACCTCTTTACAGTTTATCAAGTCAATAAAACTAGCACAGCAAGATTTGCAAGACGTTTTACAAGGTATTGTACTAAATTTCTACCTCAGCTTTTCACAGAGCTACGTATTCCACGCGCGATATTCAATTTAATGTCTAACCAATTTTCTTTCACATAATTGAAATAGGGATTCGGTTTTTACCATTGGGTAAACAGCAATTTTTAAAAGTTCAGCAATTCATTAATTTAATTGAAGCTAACTTTAGGTAAGCAAAACTGGAAATAAGTGTTATTGAATGGTTTATTACACGCTATTGAGCTATATCGATTAGCCAGTTACCTGTTAAGGTGATCGTCTCACAACGACAATATGGTACAAACATACTAATAATAACAATGTGCTGATAATGATAAATCCTGATTTTTCCTTACAGTAATATTACTTATGCACAACTTCTGTTTGACGATCAGTTAATTTGGTAAGTTTGATAGACGTAGCATCACCAGTCTATTTCAGCTCAACTTAGAAAATAACTTTATAAAGTATCCTAAATTGATGCATTACACCATTTGGATATTACCTTTTTAAAGGAGTAGTCTCGATCTCGATCATACACAAATTCTTTATGGCTATTTAACTACCAATTTATTACCTAATCATCAAGAAGCGGAGGTAGCATCATCATTAGATCCTAACATGAATCGTTATTGTCTATTTGAACCCTTATGCACTGTTACAAACTATTTGTAGAATATTAAAGATCAGAATAGTAAGGACTCGAAATCTGTAATATATAATCTCGACGTGCAGGGAAAGTAAGCTCTATGCAATTACTACTATTCGTGCGATTATTGTACCTGAGTATGCTGTTAAAATACTTCCTGGCTGGCATTAGATTTATAACAGGGCCAACAGAACTCGGACATGCAGCTTCAATAGGAAAAATTCCTAGAATATTTATTAATAAAAATGGTAAATGGGAAATTTTCGCTGTGATCGTTTATAAGGTATTGGTTGATGTCTACATTGATTATTATTATTACAATCTGTAAACTCTCGTCATATTTCCTTTTACCTTATGACAGGTGCTAGATACTGTGCTTTGCATGTTGGTCAAGTGTAAGTTATAAGGCAAATCTGAATACATAATTGAAATAATACCAATTGTTTTTGAAATATTCTTTATCTTTTACTGCGTTTAAAAAGTGTTCTTAATGAATTGTTCTGATTATAGATGATACAATTTTTCCAACGAGCACAAGCACTATCGATTTCTTCCGTAAATTGGATAAGTTTATTGGACCTCAAATCAAACAGTTGACTTTCGACATTGCTGAGCAAAATATTATCAATCGTCGATTGTCTTTGTAAATAAATTAATTTTAATATTTAATGATTGTCAAGTGGTTATCCTGACGTCGCTGTAATCATACCGTCAATTTACAATTTGATATAGAACTGAGATGCAATATAGATTTATCTACTTCAACCATATGAACTGCGCATTCAAATCAAGTATATACCCCAAGATAAATCAACCTGCTATTATAGGACCCGACTTAATGCGCTTATTCTGCGATATTCATGCAGAATTTGACAAGTATGGTTTAAATTTGATCCTATCCGTAGGTTGATATCTGTATTGCTAATCAATCAATTAATGTACTTGCCCGACTGTCAACTTAATTTATAGGTCGAAAAGTAATGAAGAATTTTTGGCAAAGACTGCGACAGATTGTTGGGTTGTGGGCAAAATTGCGGATCAGAGAGAGCTATTTGTCGCTCAAAACCTGAAGAACGGGAGTCTTTTAGACATTAATGGTAATATTTTTGAATTATTTTGCTAAACGTAGATTTTGGAATGATCCACTAACAACGTGTATCTTTGTTCTTTATATATTAGATGAAATGAAAAAGCTTGTTGGTTCCTTGTTTGGCAATATTTTCTATTTTAATAGCTAAGTTACACGTAAATGAAAACATTACCTTATGAGAAATGACGAATATTTCATTGCTGTTATAAAAATTTAGTGGTAACCGACGTGCCATTTAATACAGATTTTGAAATCGTGTAGCATCTCAACATTTGGTTATAACGAAGGGAAGAAAATAATATCTGTATTCTGTAATATCTGAAGTTTATATTATACAATTGTATTATAAATTGGATGTAAAGTGTTTGATACTGTAGTCATAAACTGTTTTGTTAATTAGTCCATCTAGTTTATCTGTGCATTAAAATGATTCCAGCTATTGAAATTGTATCTGGTTTCAGTTGCGCGCTATTATAATATAATGAAATGTGTGTACTGTGATAGCAACAAACGCTAATAGCTATTTCGGTAAAAGTTGTTGTATAGCTCGTTGATACGGAATACGATCGCTATATTTCGCTCACAAATTTGCATAAAATAACAATGCGAATACTATTTGTAAGCCTTCAGGTCATAAACTATATCATTATAAATTATGTCATTTGCCAAATCTTTTATGGATTTAAAGTTTTACGAAATCAAAAGATGCTAGTAAACTGTAATTCGTTGATATCTAATATCTCACTGTAAGTAAGAGGAAGTTCTGTATACCTTTAGATTAAGTCATTAATTCGTATTAACTCGTTGAACATTTGTTTTATCGCAATTTTGTACACGACCTAATTTTAAGTTTTAGCTATGCAATTACATACCGAAATGGTAACATGTGTTAAAGCAATTTATATTATATGAAAAAATACCATATATTAATTATCGCTTCTAGATGTTATATTTATCGGTATATTTGCTGGATATTAAAGACTGTCATGAACAGTCAAATGAATAAATTGTTGTCGTCGTTGCGGAATAATCTTAGAGAAATGATACTGAAATACTAAAAATCTAAAGCTTAGCAGGGAGGAAAATAGCAACTGCTTAAATAGTAAGATATAAAATGATAACAATCAACTAATTATAATAACAAGCCCGGTGATAATTAACTTCATTTTGTTTTAATCGAATGCTAGCTTTTGTAATTGATTGAAATGCAAAGGTGACTTTATGATAAGTAAAAACCAGTATTGTAATAAATTTTCCATCAGGCACTTACTTGAGAGGATTATATAATTGGTGGTATGGATAAAAGTTCTGTATGATACTAGAGTACCTCAGTACTATGATGAGAAATCAGCTTCATAATTAGGCAGTATTCTACGCAAGTTACTATTCTTAACAATATGCGTTTTATTACAGCAGACTACGACATCTAAACAAGTATCCTATGCTTAAAGGAGACATGTGGTGCTACTTATCTTTAAAACGGAACAATATTTCGAATTGATGCATGCCCTGATTATTTTGATAAAGAGCTATCGTTTAATGCGGGCAATAAGACACATGTATAGAACAATAATTTCTTTAAGGCTATGATATTTATTAATTATGGACAAGGATACCATACCTCATGAAATATCAACTTTGTGGATACTTTTGATCGGGGAAGGGACTCAAATTAGGTTAGTACAGAAAGTCAACGTTTTTTTATAGTCAATAACAGTTTTATAAAATAGTAACATTTCCGAAGCTTACTGCTAAATTACATTATTCTGTATGTGAGTTCAAGTTGGATTTGTATGGAAAACAAATGTTTTTAAGTCCATTAATATAAAATAGTAATCTCTAAGAGGTTTAACATTCTACTTTACGTTACATAATTCTGCTTACGAGTAAAATATTTATTAGATCGCAATATACTCGCATTAGGGAACGTATACGCATCCTTGCAAACGATTTAAGGAAGAAAATAAAGATACAAACGGTTAATAAATGATCATTCGTATTTGTGTCACGTACGTAGATGATTTTATTGGAATACCTTTCGGTTTAAATTTCGAATACAGCAAGATTGCATTGCATTAAGAGTTGATATTTTACAATATTGAAACTGAATGGAGCTTTTGTACATAGCAAACTCTGGTATAAAATGATGAAATAACCAGACTAACCAGCCATACCATGCCTGCCTAAACCTCAACGCAACGTAAGCAACATTGCGTATCATCTAAATTGTGCAATAAGTATACAAATGCACACCTATTGTAGCGAATCGTTAAGAACATTTGCATTATTATCAAATCTAAAAAGATACCGAAGCGAGGAATCTCTGAGCCTTCGTTAGAATGTAGCATGAACTAACTAACTACAACTTTCGGGTTTTCGGTAAATAATACATTAGTAGAGCGAGACAGAAATCGCTTGGTTGTTGCACAGTCTTTACATTTCAAGATAACATGTTTTTCACGCTTCGAACTATGGCGTATTGTCGATGTGATGCCTGGAATCAGTAGTAAATCGCATTTCTTACACAACGTTCTCTTGATATTTGGATCTAATCTCAGTACTAATTTCTTCGCTATCTTTCTGAGTGATCTAACATAAATCCTGCATAATTGATTGGCTTCCTCTTGAGATTTTCCGCAAGTCAATGCCGTATGAGCGGCTTGGTACATAAAATTGATCCGATGTGAAATCTCTTTATTAGGTATGTTAAGTTGTTTCGTCGTTGCAGCCATAGGGCAATCAATCAGTCGATTATCTTAACACTGCATACTGGAATGAATAACAAAGCTACGCAACTAAGATTTGAGCCTATCCGAAAGCACTCTATCTATCCAAATGCTATTAGGATTTTTGATCTGCTTCCAAGATGTCGATCTTGCAGCTTTCGACTTCGTTATTGCAGTTGGCGTTGCAAAGTTTTAATATGGTGGTGATCACGCGAATGAATTAGTAATTTGGCCGTACGCTGCAGTAATGGACCTACAGTTCAGTCATATCTATATTCAGTATCACGTGTTTTGGGCACAAAATATCTTGCTCGGTATAATACGCCGACGTAGTTAGCGTCCCGCTTGAACCCTTTATTAAAGCTGCTATACAGAATTTAGTTATGCTAGCTATGCAATACTGAAAACGGAAAGATATAGTCAGATTAATTACTGACAGTAAGATTATATTGCAATGATGCTATACTGTAGCAACACAGTAAGCCACTATATGATTGCGTAAGGTGGTTTATTTAGGGATAAGTTAAAACACTTAAAGAATACTGTTCAAGTTTCACGATTTTATTGGACTCGAATCAACGTAAGAGCATTCGCTATTTTTTATTATCCATAAAGGCAAATTCGCAAGTGTCCTAGGGAAATTCTAAATTTATATTAACAAGTCCATACAACTATATTGCAATAGATTATTATTTTTTATTCAGCAATCCCATTTTAGCATATTATTAGTTGAATTATAAAATAGGAAAGTAGACTTTAATGTTGCCTTGAAGCCAAGATCATTCATAAAAGTTAACGCTTTAGTTAGAAATAACTGTTCAAAATAATATTTTCTCTAATATGCTTTTCTTTGGAGCGACTTATGTTTATACGCCAGATTGGAAGATAAAAAAGCAATAATATTTACAAAAAATTGTCAAATTCTCGCAACTGCTGTAAATCAGTGAAAAAAAGTATTACTTATATATGTATATATATATACAAGTGGAAAATAACATTTACAAATTCTGCCCTTGGCTAGACAGGCCTTTCCAAATATAGTTACACGTAATAGTTGTTAATTTTTATCATCTTTCTCTTGTTTAGGCTTCTCATCTCTATGTATTAATTTACTGACAAACATTGTACCAATAATTAAGGGTAAATAGTATAAGCTAAACCTAAACAGTTTCCTTGCTGATTGATTATTCGCATCCTTATGAAATCGCCACGCTAACCACGTAAACCACGCGTTAGTCGGCAATGAATACAGGGCAAACCACCAGGGTGTCAACTGACATATCGGTAAAAGACACGATAATAACGTTAGAGCCAAAGTGTGCCTTAATGATACTCTTCTACATAATTCTGGATGTGTTACGGCCATCATTCGATAACCTAAGGCACAAGCATTACATGGTGTAAATATTTCGTATGGAAGTCTTACAAGTATTATTTACATACTGCGTATAGAATCAACCTGCTCGCGAGTAATCCGCTTTTAAATTCCAGCTTAAAGCATTAAAATGTGGAAACTGCCATGAGTAAAGTATACCAGCTAAAGCTAGACCTCCAATATCGATTCCACCTGTTTTTGCAGCCCATCCCATCAATGGTGGTAATGCTCCGACAATCGCTCCAAGCCATGTATTACCAATTCCTAAGCGCTTTGATGGTGTATAAATGCAAGTGTATAGAAATATATTTAAAGCGGCCAAATACGCAGTTAAAGGATTTACAGCATAGTAGAGTAAAGATACGCTAGAAATTCCACTTAGGGTAGCAAAGGTCATTGCATGTACGGGTCTATCAATCAAAATAGAAGGCGAGGCAAAGTTGCTAATTTAGTCTTGAGAATATAACCACCTTTCTTACATACATCATCATCTTTACAAGATCTAACGGTTTAATAAAATTAAAATTGAATTACGTGATAAGTCCTTTGACTAATACTCGATTTCGTGTTCTAGCCATTTGGCTATCATAAGGTACCTCAAGCCACTGTCAAATATGAAATGAATTATAATGGACATTTTAAAATTGATCAATTTATGATGGATAACCTTTTTTAAATTTCAACATGCTCTGACCTGATTTATAGCATTTGCTGAGCAACCACTCAATCCAACGCCTAAACTAGTACATAGCAACGAGGATAGGACAGTATCACCAGGGGCCAATAGATATCCACCAATAGAGGTTAACAGTACAAGGCCTACGTAAATTATGATGTTGATATAAATTAGATGATAAGAAAGTCCTACTTTATAACGTTAATGTAAAGATATTGATTAAGTATATCATGATCAGCTATTCTAATCCACTTGAACAATCGTCAACAAATAGGATACGCCTTGTCTACAGAGTATCAATAGCATTATTACTTGCGTCGTGATTTGGGTTTTGTCTACTTATAATTCTTAATTATGATTGTAAATACCCGTAAGGTGGTAAACAGAAACAATTTAGTGTCGATTCTACGGTACAGTAGTAGCATTTCTGATGGAATATAATATACAAAATAAGAGTGTAGTATGGCTGCATCAATATCTGACGGTTGTCCTTTTGTAATCAATTATTTTTAATACGTACGAGTTCATGTTATTGAAGAGTAGATAATTTTGCTTTAAGATTTGCCCATCTATTGTTGCTGTGCTATCTTTAGTTGATTTGACTTGACTAAATAAACATGGTGTCTTTAGGTTTACAATATACTATAATTATTAATGATATCGATTAACTTTTAGAACGTATCCTTAATTCCACTGTTAATAATTCCTTCCTGCTATTGATATATATTATTCAGTACTCCGTAATTTTTACTACTTGGATGATAGCGTATTAGCATTTTACTGTATTCCTTTCGATGTAAATATATAGTAATATTTTTTTCCAACCCCGTCTATAGCTATGTAGCCTTTAGACTATTGCCAACGATGTACTGTACGTGTACAGTATAGTATATTGGATGCACGTATGACGTGTATGAAGTAATCAAGATTGTATCGCCTTCTTAGATAAACGTTGCAATCATAATATTCAATCTACAGGACAAGCATACCAAATCACTTTACCTGTTAATCTAATTTTGGATATTTGCAAGTAAACAGGCAATAATTTATTGATGCTAGTTGTATGGCTAGCCGTCGAATTGGAATTGATTGGTAAGCCATTGTTTCCATTAGCTGGATGTACGACGTTAGAATTATTCGTGTCTGGACTAGTGCTACTAATACGTAACAATTGCACGTTGACCTGATAATTTCAATAATCTGACATTAGTATTAGGTTAACGAAAAGAACAACAAGTATTGTTAAACCATCCATTTGGTCAGGTAGCAACGCTGTATCGAAAGATGTGACTGTCAACACAGTCTAAGCTTAATTCACCAAGAGCTCAACAGACATACGTAGCGTATTCAGTTCACAGAAAGTACAACAAGGATTGTTAATCCATCCATTAGGTAAAGTAGCAACGCTGTATGGAACGATCTGACTTTCAATAGTTCAAAGCTAATTCACAAATAGCTCTACCGTATAAGAATGACTTCAAGTGAGCACTATACGACTAGAATACAGTACTAAGACAGCTATAGAGACAACAGAGAAATTGGATATCATGTTGTAGTTTCCTGTTATGGTCAATCGATCATCGTTGACAGAATTGCAAGCACGTGAAAGAATATCGATGATGCATTATCAGAGAGATAGTACTATCATGATACGGGTATAGAAAGCAGTAAGGACTGAAAATAGCTGTAGTCGATATCATGTTTATCGCTTAGGCAGGCACCTTGCATTGATTGGCGGCCGGGATCAGTCGACCATGACTATTGGAAAGTGGAGAGCCATATCCAGTCGTACGATAGAACTTGATGATCGCACTCGGTGAGCCGTTGGCTACTTTACCTAAAAGCCCCATCAACACAAGTTAATACTGATTAAGAATGGAAAGCCAATAAGGTATCGTGAATAATCACAGATTCCCAGCACAGATTCTTGGATTCTTCATGAAAACTACCTCAAATTGGAAGTAAACTTACTTAGAAGTCGCACAGATGCCATTCAAGACCACATTTTCAGCTATGCATGTGCAAAATTCGATGCTAGGACTACCCGTACTAGCTTCAACATATCGACCGCCGATCCATCGCGAAGTCTATATACAGTATCAGAACGACCGAGTCTGGTCTAGTCTAGCGACTGCGCATGAGCAGTCTAAAGTATGGTTGATCGCTGCTTCTGTATTGCTGTCCTATCTTTGACTGCTACTGGTTTCCTTTAGTGGATTAACATTGATCCTTGACATGATATTGACTGATATTATACTCAGTACACAGTTCTATTTCAACAGCAATTTTAAAAACCATCGAGAAATCACACGATCAATTCCCTTTCATCATATGTCGTTAGCGTTGTATTTTTATGCCATCAGTATAGCCATGGCCTACGGCAAGCAGCTAGAGTTTTGTGTTCCATGCAACAGTACTGTACTTAGTGTATTACAACTGCTGTGCTGTGCTGTACCTAGTGAGTATTAGACTCTCCGTAGTACAGTGCACAGTACCAGAATCTACAGTACATTTTCTCGTTCGTACTGTAGTGCCTGCTCTACCGTAGCAAGCAAATACGTCTACGGTAACCTATCCCATACACTACTGCATAGTATGGTCAAAACAAGTAATGTAAAAGATCGACATTGTTACGCTAGCGCAGGCTTGCCAAGTTGCCCTAGAAACCCTGCTTGACCATTAATCGTCTTCCGTGCTTTCACTCTCTGATTCAAAATGTCTTCCGCCAAACTATCGATACTTTCTTTGCTTTGCCTTTATGCTACGATAACAGCTGCAATCAATAACAGACCCATCATAGGTACCATTCTTTTTCTTTGCCTTGGATAAGTGACGATGTTTCAATGACAGTCTATGTGTTTGATATGGATCATAATCGCATCAACGGTTTCATGTAGGTGTTGCAGCTCAAGCAACATGGGGCCATTCTGCAGCTCATGGCAAATCATACATCGCTGCCGATTATGTCAAATTTATCGAAGCAGCCGGTGGACGTGTCGTTCCAATACCGTATCTTAAAGGCTATGTTAGATTGAAAGGCAACTCATGTTGCTAATAGATTTGTAATGATCGTTTTACTGCATAGGCATGGATGTCCTTGTAGCAACTTGGATATTCAATTTGTAGTGTACTGTAGAAAACATCTTTACCAATGGATGACAACATAATAACAACATGATAGACGTAGTGCATAGTAAGCTAATAAAAATCAATTTGCTCCTTGACTTCTATCACTTTAAACAGAAACAATGCAACGGATGAATACGTCACCAAAATGTTCCACTACATCAACGGGTACATCAACCTTTTCTTCATGAAATCGAACTAATGATATCGAAATGGGACTGTTGCTACTAAATATTGCTAAACATCAGCATTTCTAAATAGATAAGACAAAAGATGCAATGAGCCAGTAAAATTAGTTATTGTCCAATTCTTATAGCTAATAGTTAATACAATCATTTATTTTGACTTAGGTTTCTATTGCCTGGAGGAGCTACTTCTGTTTATCGTTCTGGCTACGAAAGAACAGCCAAAATCATGCTAAATTTAGCGATGCAGGTACGGTGTAATTGTTGCTCGTAATTATTGATAGGATTGCGATCAATAACAAGTAGCTATATGAATGGGTACAATATTTGCATTGATATATCCAGTATTTACGAACCGATGCGAGTATGATTTTACATTATACCGTAAGCAGACGATAATACTGCTAGTCTACCATATTATACCGATACAAGATTATGTATTAAAATCGTGTCCAACATGGTCTTCGATGAAAGATAAAATAATACTGTATAATCGGTTACATAAACTTTATCATAGTATTATTACCTTATTATCTAGTCTTCAAGATACTATTAATTGTAAAGAATTTACGTTTGATTGCTTATCTGGCTTCCCTTCTCATTCATATTGTAGGCCTATGAAAATGGGGATTACTTTCCTATTTGGGGAACTTGCCTCGGCTTTGAACAGTTAGCAGTTTTAGTAGCTGGAAATCATGCTCTCACTAACTGTTCGGCCTGGGATGTTAGCTTGCCATTAGAATTAAACCAAGGTACAATGCTTGGTTTGATCAGATTAAACATACCTGACTTACCAACACTTTAGTAAATCGATAACATTAATTACTACTCATGCCGCTACTCATGAGCATAAACTTAAAATTAGAATCTGTATATAGCGACGTGACACTATCTGTAATACGTTTCTACACGTTTACGAGCAATCTTTTCCATATGTTGAAAGTTTGTATTCCTTCGCGTAGATTTTCGAGATAGTCGAATGTTTCATAAGGCGCCGGAAGAAATTATTAATATTCTAAAATCACAAAGTGTGACTGCTAATTATCATCATGAATGTGTATCATGGAAGGTGATGACTTGGATATCTTTCTATTATTTCCATTCTAAAATTTAAGGCCGTAAAGTTTATACTAAAATCGATATCTAAACATTTTCCGCTAATTACCAAAACAGGCAAATGGGACAATTGTCATGAAATTATAACAAAACCTAATTTTGCTTACTGTACTTTTCCACTGTAATATTATAGAACTGGTTCAGTTCTAATGGTGAACACTTACAGAATATGTTTAAGGTCCTATCCAGTAATTCTGATGTCAAAGGTCTAAAGTTCATTTCTACCATAGAAGGTAAATGTACTGTATGCTGCCTTGTTAAAAGAATATGCGTCACTAACATTTGCATTTCTATTCACAAACTGATCTATAGGCAAGACACATCCAATATTTGCCACGCAATGGCATCCAGAAAAAAATATGTTCGCCTGGAGACCAAACTTGCACGTAGCTCATTCTGAAGATGCTATAAAGATAAGTCAGTACATGGCGAATTTTTTTGTAGGAGAAGGTAAGGGTATATCACTAGCTATTTCAGAAGCAAATACTATAGTAGTTATAGCAGATATTTTCTACTTAAATTTAATTGACTTATTCTCTTTATTATGAACCTTTAATCGTATACTTTTATTTGATGAAAGCTCGGAAAAATATGCACCATTTCCCAAGCCGAGAAGCGGAAATGCATGCCTTAATTTACAATTTTAATCCTGTATATTCTGGACTTCAAGGATCTGAATTTGAGCAGAAATATTACTTTTAAATGCCGCAGATAATTATAATCTTTCGACATCCTTAGCGATCTTTGTGGATTTCTTCTGATAGTTTATCGCTACTGTTACGTGGCTTTAATGGCCTAGATAGCTATCATTCTACACTTCTATGAGACTAAGTACGTTGTATATTAGTACAATTTTTCTATCCTTTTTTTTGCTAGCCGTAAAGTATATTATCTGTAATGATGAAGCTGCAGTATACGAGTACATGTTACTCTAAAATAAAATAAAAATATGTAATTTTACGTAGTAAGAGCGAATCCTCTTTCTGTGTTTCACACCAGATATTCATATTGCGTTTCGATCAAATTTATTGTGTAGCAGTACTTAACTGGCTAATAGTGAGTGAAAGTATATTGTCTAGTATTCAAAAGTAGTGCAAAGGATCATAGAGGAGTTCGAATGCGATGAGATATAAATTACGCTTTTTCAAATTGTTACTGAGGTGTACAAATCAGTTAAATAAAAAATGAGTAGAAAGGAAGGTTCAACTACGGTACGATAGCACTATGAATTTCAACAATCCAGGTTATGAACCAATCACGTATCATTTGTGTAAAAGTACCTGCAGTAATAAAATAAGTAAACACTGTTGCTGCTTTGTTGGTACAAGCTGCGATTATGCTTTGATCGCGCTTGTAATCCTGTCTTGTAATCCTGTTGATAAATTGAGTTGAACTAGTTGTATTCCTGAGCTAGCTCTACAATTTTCGTTTACTCAAGACGTACAAGATATGATCCAATAATTTTATTTAAAAGTGATTTTATTTGACAATGCCAATTTTAAATCCGTGCGACTACAGTTAAAATTTTGAATACCATACCCTACTACCGCATTAAATTCAATTTCAGTATTTCATTGCATTTTATACTGTAGCTATAATGCTTCAATTGAAGAAAGGCAAAATTTAATAGTAAATGAAGATGAAATTAAGACAATCAATTTTAATGAAGATTATTAATTTCTATTAAATGCTAGATTGACGAACAAAAAATTGTTAAAGTAGAGAAATGAAAGCATAAATATTAAACCAGAAGCACGAAAAATGGAATAAAAAACAGTGAACCAAAAAATCAATAAATGAATCAGATAAAAGTAACCCTTGCCAACTGAGTACATCATATTCCAGCACCCTTACTCAAGTTGGAACAAGCAATCATGCGATTGAGAATTATTAAAAGTACTTAAGAACAGATGATAGTAATCCAAGTTTCAGATAACATTACACGTTAAATGACCTCAGTTAATTTTTTATCGTCTTTTTCATTTTTCGATTTTTTCCTTTTGGCGTTATAAAGTTTGCGAATTGAAACAACCCTAAAGGAGTCTCCGTGACGACCATCCCTACGCAGATCAAAGTTTGCAATTGATATTAATTTTTTTCTATTGATTTCTATTGATTTCTTGTTAGTAGAAGAAAAGCAAAGTGTACTCTAATTCTTAAAATTAAGATTGCTCAGGCTGTTTTTAAAATATAAGCGACAATGAGATGAATATTATATCTAGACTTTACCTTAGCCTACTTTGATGCCGTTGATAGAAAAAATAACCCACGATTAAGGATATAATTATAACACTCGCACCGGCAGCCACGGCTGCACCAAGAATTGTATCTGCAATGAATATAATCAATTCAATTTAATATCACCAAGATTCGTAAAAGCGCTATAACTAGTAAATTTACTTAATGGGAGAGCTGCACCGGAACAGTATGGATCTATTTCAGGGGGTGGGCACCTAAGTAAAGAAGTAAAAAGAAAAAATACTTTACAGTTTGTAAACGGCTGTCATTCCTTCAAATTTGGTATTTTAGAAAGTGTATTACTGATAAATGCTTCCTTACTTGCAATATTCCCTAAAGTCAGGTCCTATTACACAAAATCCACCTTTTGAACAAGTCATTCTACACACTATAACAGATAATAGTCAGATAAGCGCTAAATTGATCGAATCGTAATCAAATTATGATCATACAGAAAAATTAAGTGTATTTATCAACTATATTTTGTAGTAATGGATTTTTAATATACAGGTTGATTACAAAATGTAAGAAAATCTACTTACTGCTGCAGTTATGCGGATAGAAGCTACTATTACTTGTTGCTTTATCACATTGGCACCTATAAGAACCCATTGTGTTGATACATAGTTGATGCGGGAAATTACATGGTGAAAACGATTGCTGGCACTCGTTAATATCTAATTTTTTTTGCATGAAAATTCGATTTGGAACATACAATTTAAGTTTTAGATTTCATTTGATGTAAACTTGTTTTAGTGCCATAAATATTACACTACGGTTGTTTGACATATCGCTTAACATCATTTTTATTTAATATACAGTTCTATTTACAATGCATGAACATTTGCACAACCAGAAATACAGTAGATCTGAACTTAGAATTATAAAATAGAATTATTTACTGTAAGTACATAAAAATTATTACAGTAAGGTGAAGAAAATTCTTAATTTAACCTAACTAGTGAATCTATACAAGTATTCATCTAGATATTTGGTTGATACATAAGATATATGCTAGATCGTTTTATAACTGATAAGGTTACTACCGAAGCACTTAATCGTAACAAAACATATACAGTACGCACCAACTTCGTTACTTAAAATACTTGAGAAATCGTAAGAAGTTTTAAACTATCATTACCGTAAGCAGAAGATATTGTAATAAGGCGGAATAAATTATTAATTTTTTTAATTAATATAAGAAGCGACATAAAGTAATCTCAGCACTAGAATATATCAGTATTTGGAGCACGGGCATCTTTGAGTAATGCCTACTCAGAATTACTCAATTATAAATTGTATTTGCTTACTCAAAAGACATATACAAAATTATGTTATTCTGCTCGAAATTTAACAATGCATGATTGCATGAGAAACAGACATTGCTATATTTTTCAAATTAAATATTTCAGAAAGTCCTGAACTACCTTATACCGTAGCTATTAAAATCATGTGAGCGTAATAACATATCGAAGCAGCCAATTTAATATTAGAAACTGGCACTGATTCGATTTACTAAAAGGCTCAGAAAATGGTTCAATAGTGCCTATGATTATGGTAGGCTATCACATAGTCAGAAAACAGTTAATTGCCTTTGAATAGTACCATACTGATTTCTTTACATAGAAGCATTTAAAAGTGCAAGATCTAAACATGCAAAGTAGGAAAATGTATAAGATTATTTTAAAACTGAAATTTCATTTATTTTTTGGTATGCTGTCTTGAATAAAAAAGCTTAAGCATTCAAATGTATTACATTGATCTTAGCATGAAGTGCAAAGATTAAAAGTAAAATTGATTTAATATTGGAAGTAGAATGGCTTAATAGCGCTTTGGCGGTAGGAAATAACTTAATATCATACAAGTAGACTATTACCCTAGGAATATTGCTAAATAAGAGTGATTAATCTTAAAGTTCATGACAAAGTTGAACAATAAGTAAGCAGGAAGTTCACCTAACAGCCCTCTGTGTAAAAGATAAGCTAAAATACGTATTGTTTTTTCGTTCATTTTAAAATTACTGATCAAGCACCTGTAAACATCGTCATTCTATATGGTGATTATTACAACTTACCAAAGCATTTTCTTCCATCACCAACGAAACCTGGCCTGCATTCGCATGTGAAATAAGACGTACCGTTGTCTATTAATCTTAAACACGTAGCATATGAACTACAATTGAGACCATCATTCTGGCAAAATTGCGGTAAAACTGGCTTCAAATCTTGATAGAAAGCGAATAATTAAGTTGAGTTATTATGTAAAGTATGGGTTGCCTTAGAAATTAACAGGAGAATCGTGTTCATTAAACATAGCAAAGTTAATTCTAATTCGCATTATTTAACCCATGGATCAAATTAATTACGTTATTTCATAAATATCATCGGTTGTATATTTAATTATATTATATAATACCAATAAATAATATTAGAAGTGGAGTATATTATTAATTTTATACAGTGTGTTAAAATCTACATGATATGAAGGTACGTAGCAAAGCCGCAATTAATTTTTAAATGATAAATAAGAATTGATATAAGACGGATATTCTATAAATACCTTATACTGTAGCATCATAATTTTTTTTTAATTTACTAAATAATAAATAATCATCCACTTTTCTAGATAGGGGCTATAGCATAGATTTATATACGATAATTATCGATGCTACGAATTATTGCTTTTTTCTATTGTTTAAAGGTTAACTAAATTAGATTATTTGATTTAAAAGACCGTGAAATCATATTATTCTTATTGGCTCTAACATATAACCTAAATGCAAAATGTTATTGATCACTAATTCTCTTTAATGCTATTACCTATATGTGGTATTAACAAAGCAAATTAATTAAGCGTAAGGTCTATTTAAGTTAATAGCTCGTGATCATATATATTTACTTCCGTGCATCAAATAATGCCAGTAACTTATTTCTACATAATGATGGAAAAATTGACATAGGTACATTGGCTGAAATATTTTAAGGAAGGTACTAATATTAGCGTTATCAATAGTGTGAATAATATTAATCTAGTTATAATTGACACTACTTAGAATAATAACCTTTAATATTTTTCATATTTTTTTGTTATCGAATATAACAGATAATTTCAATATGCATCTTAGGCAAAACATCCTTGATGCGGAATTAACTTGGGAAAATTTAATAATGCAATTTCATTAAAACAACAACGATCAATAGCAGCGATAGTGATTTATTCTTTTTCTTTATAATTATTTCAGGACTGGTTATCTTGAATAGTCATATCCGTTGCTTTATTTTACTATTTTATTTGCCGCTGGTATAAATTTAGTGTTTCAATGTAGATTATCAATCAATTTGAATGCTGCTTTATGTAATTAAGGTAAACCATAGACATTAGAGTATAATTACTAACCTTGTCCATTTACATAGCCATAGATGATAATCTAACAAAAACAAAATATTGAAAATGTTAGCAATAATTTAGTTTCATAGAATAGATATTAAATTTGGACATTCAGCAATTAATATTTGAAAATATTAATTTACAGTAATACTGATAATATGTACATCCAATCAATAATCGAATAAATTAGATTAGTGACAAGATAGTAACGATCAAAAAAGCGGAGGAATTTTAAATATAGTCTCAGCTATACGTAGACGACAATACTCAAGCTTAAAAATTTTATAATTATCTTTCAATACAAATTTAAATGAAAAAGAGATAAATTCAACCGGATGATACATTAGAACAAAGAATTTGCTGCACTAGATATGAACCAGATAGCTTAAATACGAAATAAGGTAGTTGATACGGTTCATAGATTGTTGATTTTGTTGAATAAGACAAAAATTATAAAGGTAGAATCTGGTATTGACTATAGTATAGTAATTATAATTGATGCTTTAGGACATTTCCGTGGTCTTAGATACCTTGCTATTATAAGAATATCAATACGTTAGTAAAAGAGAAGAAAAATGGATCAGAATTTAACATGGTACGTGACTAATGTTCAATAATAGGAAAGAAATCAGTCATATCCTTAATTAAAAAGTATCAGTTATCTATAATCAGTTAGATTAAAGAAGGGAAAATAATTTAATTCATGAAGTATAAAATTAGCAAATAGGTGTATCATATTAAAAATACTTGTACGCCAAAATAAAGTGTAGATGAGACTAACTATCCCATGGCAGTTAATGAATTTGGATTTACTAATAAAAAGCTACATCTTTACGTCTTTACTGAGATGAAATGAATAATACAATTCTTGCTTACTCTACAGAAAGTAATAAGGCGAATGTTTATTTACCTAAGTAACAAAGCCAATATCGTTAAACTGATTGGTATTAAACAAAAGAAAGCGTAATAAAGGATATTATTAAGGAACTTGTTTTAATATTAATGTGAGTATATCAGACTAAACTAGTTGCCTACTAGTTACAACAGTGAGGAAATCAATTGAATACTTTAAATCTTCCCTCAAAGAATTTTCTTGATGAAATAACAAAGTTAGCAATTTTTTGCCTTTGCTACCGAAATTATGATATTTCCAACAAAATATAATTAGATTGTACTGCTTGAAATGTTTTACTATTAAAGCAATAAATGTGCTTTAGTCTAATCTTTGCCATATCATCGACGACAGTAACAGCAGACTATATCATAACATAGGTAATTAAACCAAAATTTGGAGAAGCTTACTTCAATGCATGTTAATCAAGTAAATATATTAAAAATGTAATTACGTTAATATATTTCATACTTTGCTATTATTTCGAATTGAGTAAACTAAAAACGCTATTTATTTCGGAAATATTTTAATAAATCCTACTTTAGATCCAACGTTGGGCTTTCTCCAATTTAAGCAAAATCTGGCGATAGCACTAACCAGATTATGAATTGCTATTATGATTTAAATACTATATGGCCTATGAATAGAAATTACTTTAACAAATAGCTTATTTACATCATTTTTGGTAAAGACTTATCGTGTCAATGCAGTTATGATCTCTGGCTAGATCAAATTAAAATGTAATAAATAGTCTAATGTAAATAATCTTAGCGCTTGGTAAGCGATTAGAAATGCTTTCAAACATGGAAAAGCGTATAAGCGAATAAGCAATATGTTAGGTTAATGTTAAGCTTGAGTCTGGAGATAAGGTACATAGAAAATATAACTATACAGTGCCTAATCTAACAGACATTCTTAATTTTTTGCTATGATTTGAATAAAATTTCGAATGAAGTTGAGAGGTATTGCAATTAATATTTTACTAATCTATATTATTATCATTAATTAAATGATAGCTAGGGTAACAATCCAATATAATACATTTTAATTTATAGCATAATTTACGTCATAATGAGGAATTTTAAAGATGAGCTATTTAGAAGTTTATCTATTTCGTAAAAATTTCTTACTTCCTAGCAGATTATAACTGTATGAAATCGTTATGGTTTATTTACGCTCGTTGTTGACTTCATAATAAGGCAAGGTTATCTTAGTGTTTGCTAAAATTTTAATGGAGTTAAAATGGCTCTAACTAATTTTACATTTAGCATATACAGTATATTCCATTGGAATCAACTCCGGTGAGTACATAATCTCTAAATCATATCTACTG